CGCCCGCGGCAGCCCCCTCTTCATCCTGGTCGCCCGCGCCCCCCAGACCCAGCACCGAGAGCTGGTTCAGAGCCAGGCGCAGCGCGGCGGCCGCGTCGTCGGGCTCGGGCGGCGGCCGGGGCGCGGGAGCGGCCTCCTCGGCGGCCTCGGGCGCCGGCGGCGGCGGGGAACCCGGGCTGGGGTCCCCGCCCGCCGCCGCCCCGAGCCCGCCGCCGCCTGCGCTCCCACCGCCGTCGGGCTGGCCGATGGAGCAGGACATGGCGCTAGCGCTCGGGCCCGCGCCCCTGCCTCTGGGCCGCCGGCCGCCCGCGCCGCCGCCGCCGCCGCCCGCGCCGCCGCCCTCCGCCTCTGAGAGCTCGGCCGCCGGCCGCCGGCATCCAGCGGCGGGGCGGGAGCGGCGGGGGCGCGGCGGCGCGGGGCTGCTCGAGGCCGCGGGAGGCGCGGCGGCGGCGCGACTCTGCTCGCTCTTAGGCGGCAGCTGCGGCGGCGGCGGCGGAGGCGGCGGTGGCTGGGCTCTCGGCGGCGTCGGCGGCGGCGGCGCGGACGCTCCTTCCCTCCCGCCCTCCCGCCACCCTCCCTCCAGCCGCCCGCCCCGCCCCGGCCCCGCCCCCGTGACGCGCGAGCAGCCAACAATGGGGCGCCGATTAGGGCGCACGCGCGGGGCGGGGCGGGGCGCGGTCACATGGGCGCTGGCCCTCGGTGCCGGGAGCGCTGGGGTGAGTCCTGTGCTCTTGCAGGTGCGGGCGTGGCTGCAGGTAGGTGCCTGCGGCGCCCCGGGATCGGAGATCGCCCGCCTTTCCCTTTCCAGGGGCCCCACTGTGCCCTAGGCACTTCGCCCCTGTCCCTGCCCCAGGCCCGGGGTCCCTCCCTCAAGGCTCTTCAGGACCAGGCTGGCCTTCGGACTCCCTTCCCCTGTGTCTGCACGTTCCTGGTTCCCGAGGGCCCCTAGGGAGGTCACGGGCACCCACATCCACCCCCCGCACGGACTTCGCCGGAGCCTGAGATCGCGCCATGTGGGCGGTGCTTCCCGGCTTGGGTTGGTTTTCACCGGCCAGAGCGCTCGGAGGTGAAGATCCTCTTCTCGGGTACCTGGAACCCAGTCCTGTGGGCTTCCACAGCTGTGCAGCATGCCCAGTTCCAAAGCCACTCTGTCCCCGCTGTCCTTCCAGCTGCTTGCTTTTTTGGAATGAACAAGCCCTCCGGTTTTCTCGTGGGATTCCTCATAATAAATGGGCTGGGAGCAGAACCCAATGGGGCCAGTCACCGAGTCTGCAAGGGGACGCCGTCTAGGTCCCCGGTTGGCTGTCCCCTCTCCTGTTGTCCCCACCTCCACGTAGTTCCTCAAAGCTGTCTATGGCTGGACTGGCTATCTCCAGTCACTTTTCCCCACCTACTGTCTTCCCAGGTAGGTTCCCCTTCCTGAATCAAAGCCCTCACTACCCTGCCTTGGTCCCTGTGCCTGACCCTTCCCCACCCTAAAATGTCTTTCCTGACCCTGGGGCCACACCCTGTCCAAGTGCTTCTCTCGGGGGCACCAAATCTGAGTTGGACCTGCAGTAAATGCATATTGAGTGAGAGACAGAAGGAAATTGGAGATCATCTATCCTAGGAGCTCAGACTGTTCCTCAGAGGGTAGGAATGGTGTCCAGGATCCAAGGCGGGGCAGAGATAAGGGAAGTGTTAGATAGGATGGATAGCAAACCAAGGCAGGGAGGAGGAGGAACACACATCTCACCCGCTAACTGCTCCTGAGTCTGTGCCAGGTGTTTGGAACATCTCAAGAAACACCATGCTAGCATAGGAGGAGGGGAGCCCTTGAAGTTCCCACTGTCATTTCACTATCTGGGAAAGAAAGCCTTTGAAACTGTTCATCCCAAGGTCTAGAAGCGGGTACAGGAAGGGGTCCACAGTGCTCAAAGAAGAAACACATAAAACAACTAGTTAATTGACTGTCTCCAGTCATTATTTATTTTATGAGGGGGTCTTTATTACTTTCAGAAAGAACCCATAAATAACTTTGGGTGACTGCCCCAACTTCAATTAACCGCTTCCTGTCATGTATCTGTTTTACAAGATGACCAAATGTATGCCCTGGCCTGTGAACCAAAGGGTCGCCAGTTCGATTCCCACTCAGGGCACATCCCTGGGTTGCAGGGGCAGGTCCCCAGTTGGGATGCATTTTGAGAGGCAACTACACGATGATGTTTCTCTCCTTTTCTCCCTACCTTCCCCTCTTTCTAAAAATAAGTAAATGTTAAAAAAAAAAAAAAAAGATGACCAAATGTGGTCTGGAGCAAGGTAAGAATTCTGAGCTAACAGACACCCCCCCCACCCCAACTATGTTGGGGTAGTCACGTCCCTGGTGGAAGCTGGTACCACCTTTACCCACCAACCAATATACAACTCCTTAACCCCATCCCACAACTGTGTAAGTTCTCAGAACAAGGAACCCGATGCTTTTTGCCTCCCTTGCTTTTTACTGTCCAAGCCTGTGCCTTTCACCTCCACCTTGGCAAGGCCTGTACTCTTCTGAGAATGTATCACTATTAACTTGGCTTGCACACTAATAGACTTGCAGATCTGTAATTCTTTACTGTGTAGGCAGGAAGAACCTAGTAACTTACGAGTGTCTCTGAATAGTGCCCCCCCAACACACACACACACTCAACCCTAATCCCTGGGATCTGTGGACCTGTCACCTCAGTTGGCAAAGGTGGGATTGAGGGTCCTGAGATGGTGTGTGACCTTGGATTCTCCCAAGGGGCTCAGTGTCTTCACAGGGTCCTTGTAAGACAGGAGGGTCAGTCAGAGATGGAAGAGGCTGCACTCTGGCTGTGAGGATGGAGGAAGGGGCCACGAGCCAAGGATGCAGTGCCCCTAGAAGCGGGCAAAGGCAGAAGCGAGTCTGCACTAGAACCTCTGAAAGTTTGGCCCTATGAAGCCCATGTCGTACTCTTGACCCCCAAACTGTCAAAGAATAAATGCATGTGTTTTAAACTACAGTTTATGGTGATTTGTTCCAACAGCCACAGGGGGGAGGCTCGCACGAGTGAGGAGGCATCCACCAGGAGAGTGAGCAGCCAGGGGTGCAGTGTGGCTCAGAAACCTCTGCCTGCCTTGGGCTGAGGGCAGCCAGACACACGGTAGAGACATGGAGGTGGCCCAGGATCCATGGTGCAGATAATCCTAAACTCTTGGCTCAGAAACACCAGCATCCATGTCTTGGGGGGGTCTCATTGTGGAGAGGTAAGAATTCAGGAGGACCCTCAAGCTTGGAGGGGTGGCTCAGTGTCAGGACAGGCTCTTTGGTGTGAGGGCCCTATGGCAGGGCTGAAGCATTCCATTCTCAGGAACCAGAGGCACTGGGACCCGGGCCCATCCTATCTTCTGAAGTCCTGAGGTCAGTGGCTGCTTAGGGCCCTGCTGCCTCTCAGTGGCCAGATGTAGGTCATGTCAACTGCATGAGTGCTGGACTTGTGGAGACTTGAAATTCTCAGGCAGGTCTGACCCTTTTCCAAATGGTGTCCCTGGCCAAGTTGCTAACCTGAGCCAGGTTTTTCACTCGAAGTTGGTGCCAGTCCTGGTGGGTGGGCAGGGCTGACTGCAGATTAGAGTGCATGTGCATGTGGAGGAGCCATTCAGGGGAGATGGAGATGGACAGACTCCCTGTAGTGAGGGTGAGGAGGGTGGTCCAGGCCACCAGCTATGGGATGTGGAGGATCAGGGGGCTGGACAGGGTTTTTGTAGCTCTTGCATCAGCCTGCCCAGGGGCTGTAGAAACCCTTGGGGGCCTGCTAGGGGCAGCAGGGCCAGTTCAGATCCCTGAGGCCTGGCTCAGCCTTGTCCCTCTGTGCCCAGCCCTGAAAAGCACGCCAACACACTCGCTGGGAGCTCCAGGTGCTTTAAAGGAGCCCTGGAACTCCACCCAGCAGGTACAGGAGCCCCATGTCTTCTGGAAGCCTCCATACTGATACTAACAGTGCTGGGACCTGTTACTGTCAAAAGGCCTGCACCTTGGAGTCCTTCTTGGGACCACAGGGAAATCACTCCCCTGGGACTGGCCAGGCCGTCCTGATTCCATTGTCATCCAGCCGAGGACTGATGACAACCGTGGAGTGTAGGCCTGGGGAGCCGGGGCAAGGCCTGCACTGCTCAGACACAACACTACTCTTCAGAGTGAATGCGGGGTCTAACTACGCTCACCAAAGATGGCTTTATTCAGTCGTACATCTTCCACAGCAGTCTCTGTGCAGCCCTTCCACCCAGACCCACTGAGGAGCAAGGCAGGACTTATGGCCCAGGCGCTCAAGTCTGAACAGCGGCCGGGAAGGCTCTCCTTCCTAGGAGGCTCTGACCTTCCTGGCACCAAGTCCTACCCAGGGCAAGGCCTACCCCATTCTCAGGCAACTTTCATGGTTCTCAGGATTTGTGCTTCAACTTGACTTGAAAGGACCAGCATCCCTGGAAGACTGAGCAGGCAGCAACCCCCTACAATACTCTGAGGGGCTCCCATGCCCACATGCCCACCATGTAGCCTGACTGATCAGGGTCCCTGCCGACAGTCATAGGCTGCTGGTTAGGGCAGAGCGAGCACAAGGTGGCACCCCTCTCCTGAGGCACCGGGACTGCAGGAGACAGGTGAAGTAACAGGATTCTAACGACTCCCACCCCCAATGCTCCCCAGAGGCCACTGTTCTGGGTGTGGCAGTTGGAAATACTTGGCTGTGAAACGTACCTCAGGATGAGAACACACAGGAGCCTGGGACCCAGTGGCAGCTCCAGCCAGGCCACAAGAGAACCCACAATGCAGAGTGCTGGGCATTAACTGTCCGTTATACAGCAGGAAGCTGAGGCAGGTATGTCAGCCCCACTGTGCTCCCAGAGTCCTCCGTTGCCAGCAGCTGACCCTTAGGCAGGGCCTGCCAGGCCAAAGACAACGAGGTTTTCAGATGTGAAGTCCAGATGTCTTTACATCCACGTGCAGCACACACAACAGGGTGTTCAGCCTGGTTTGTACCACCGGTTTATTGAAGGAAACATCTGGGCTGTGCCGCTCGTTTTGGGGCACGCTCCAAGCGTTGTGGCTTTTCCCAGCTAGGTGGGTACTCAGGGAACTGTCCTGCAACCCCTTCTGGGAGGCTGACAGGCTGGCCCAGAGGATTGTCCCTCACAATGATATGGAGGCAAGACTATTTCCAGAAGCTTCCTCTGACCCCGCAGGAACTGTGCAGGTTGCCCATGGGCAGCTGTCCTGTCCAAGAAGCTCAGGGTGGCCACACTGAGTCCAGAGGCCCAGCAGCACCCAGGAGCCATGATCCAAAGAGAAAGGCCCCTACAGGTGGGACCCAGGAGTGACCAGCACTTCCAGAAGCCTGGCCCTTGAATGAGGAGCAAACATGGGGGTTCACTGTGCAGGGGGCCATCCTCCTGCTGTGAACCCCAGATGCTCCAGTGGCCTGGAGGAGTGGACACACCTGGGAAGGGAGGGAAGCCACCTTCCCCCCAACCTGGTCCCAACAAGGCAAGGGCTGTAGGTGCCCACACAGGCGGAGCTCAAGCAGGGCCTCTGGAAAGACAAGGAGGGCCAGGCCACACTGGGCACCTCCCAGGGAGACAGGAGGTCTCCTGGCACAGCAGACACCTGGCATGGAACAGGTCCCAAGGACTCTTGGACTGCCTCTCCCCCACCCCCCATGGTCACTACCCAAGTGCATGCTATGGCTGGGGGGGTCCACCCGCACCCACTCTATACATGCTCCATTTCCTGGTCTTGGTCAGGCTCCTCCTCCTCATCTTCCTCATCCTCCACGTCATCTTCAGCCCCCGGCTTGTCCAGTGGCGCCTCACCATCCCGGGCCAGCTCCTCCACATGGGCCAGCATGTCAGCCATCAGTGCCTCCTCCAGTCGCTTTCGGACTTGCTGCACCAGCTCCTCCTGCTTCCTAGGGACACACGGAGCACTGGCAGGATAGGTCCCTGTCTCCAGGATGACCAGGGTGCAAGGCCAGAGGATGGGTCGCACAGACATACACAGGCTGGTCATTTTGGGGCTGAGGGACCTCCAGCTGTGGCCTATGGCTCACATTCCCTTGTCAAGCAAGCAGCTCTGACTCAGCCTTCTGGTTGGTGCACTCCACCTCTGTGGGGGCTGAGCCCTGGGGTTTGCAGGCTCCAAGTGCTCAGAAGGACACCTGACTCCTGCTCCACCACCCCCTCTCCCCACCACCTGGCAAGCACTCCCCTGATCAGTTTGGTCTGCTTGGTGGCTCTCCCCTGCCCAGATGGGCGGCCGGTCACCTGTTGCTTGGCTCTTCTGGTCTAATGCACAAGTGTGAGCTGTTTTACTATCACTTTGGTGGGGTTTGCAAAGAGGAAAAGGAACCACTGAGTGTCCACTCCACCACTGCAGCTTTGTAAGTAAATAACTCGGTGGGGAATGGCTTTCTCTGTCTTTTGGCTCGTTACCATGGTAAAGAACACAGCCTGTAGCCTGATCTGCTTGTCCATCTGCCCCCCACTCCACCCTCTGTGGCTTTTAAGATCCTCCCCTTGACTCCAGTTCTGCATCTTCACTGTAAGGTAAATCCAACCTGTCACCAGGTCTGGTAAATGTTGGCCCAGTCCCTGTCCACATGTGGAGGGAGCCCCCCCCTCTCTCACTCTGTCCTGTCTGCACTACTGGCCCCTCATCTCCTACATTTTAGTAACTATTTATAGTTCTGCTTAACTTAAAAATCCTTCTATTCTTTTCGGACAGTTGTATTTTTTCTTATACTTTCAATTCCCTCTCCTGCCCTTTCCCTTGGGCAGACTCTGGCATGGGGGATTTTGTGTGGGTGTGTGTATTACCTTAGTTCCATGTCCTCACTCTGCATGGGGCACCGGGGCATCTCTCTCACACCCATGAACTTTTAAACCCCCAATTCCCAAGACAGGAGGCCTGCATACCCACCACTGCACCACATACATCACTCAGGCCAAGCGTGCTCTGGTTTCTAGTACCTTTGTGGAGGGTCCCTACAGTTCCTAACTTCTTTTGACCTCAGCTGTGCACGGACATTTTGAAGTTTAAAGGATGAGTGTTTATCCTTTTTGCACTTGTAGATGTTTCCTGCCTAGTGCCTCTTTACCAGGCCTTCCCAGGAGGTTCTAGCAAATGGACACCTCCCCCTGAAGTCCACCTGCACTTGGGCACCACTGAGGCCCAGCACTCAAGCCCTAGGATGTGTCTATCCTCACTTCTCACCTAGTATGGTACTTCCTGTTCTTGTCAGGTACCTAGTTGCCACCACTGTCTACAGCCTCCCCTCTGCGCCACAGCCCGTATGCCACCCTTCAGCAGGACCCTCAAAGACTTCATACCCATGAGGGTTTGAAGACATCAGCCACGAGCCAGAGAGAGGGTGGGGTGGGAGGGAAGCTACCTGATGTCCTCATCAGTCACCATGAAGGCCTTGCAGAGGGGCTGGGCCGTGTTGAGCCATACCCCGGGATTCTTCTCCACAGCAGCTGAGAGCTGCCCAGTGATGGGCATGGTGCTAGTATGCAGGGCGCTGGCGATAGCTGAGAGCAAGGTTTCGTCTGTGCAGCCGGGTCCCACGCCTGCAGGGGCGCAGGAAGGGCAATCACCACCAGGCACTGGCCTTTGTCCCTTGGTCTCGGATGTTGTTCCCAAACCACCCTTATGGGCAGGCCACTGCTCTCACTTCAGAAAAGGGGTGCTATGTGCTCAGGGGCAGGTGGTGCTGTTTGTGATGCAGGAGCAAAATCACACCCCAGTCTTTCCAGGAACCCCCAGGAGAGACACATCCTGCTGGTTCCCCCTCCATCCTAGCTGTGTTCTGCTCTGTGTAGCTATCTCCAGGACCAGGAACCAGGTGGTTGTGGCCCCTTTGATCCAAAGCTGAAGGTTGGAGGAGCCCTTCCTCCCTACCGCAGGCCTGGCCCCCCTCCTAAAGCCCACCCATCCCGGAGACTGGGTTACCTTGCAGGCCCTTGGGGAGGTCCATGGTCTTCACAAGCTCCTCTGCAATGTCAAAGGCATTCAGGCCACTCAGCTTCTTTTCCCAGAAGAGCTATCACAGAACACAGACAGATGTGAGGCTGATGGGAAGGCAAACCACCCCCATGTGCAGGTAAACCACAGCAGTCCGGGCGATGGCTGAAGCCTGTCTACATGCAGTATGCTGGTCTCAGCCTGACTTCTGACCCCCACCTTGGCTGGGGCTGCTGGCATCCAGCTTGGGAGGTGAGGGTGCCATGGGCCAAGGGGGATATTCCTGCCCCAGACCCAGCAGGACCCACATCCAGGCTGGTCCTCCCAGGGCAGAGAAACTCCAACTCCAGTTTTTGGCAGGATGAAGACATAGAATGTCAGATGCACTGTTGACGTTGACAGGTTATGTTTCCCAAAAGATCACCGTCCCACACACCCGCTATACAGAGTAGGGTTATTTGTAAATACCGAGGAAAACACGGTAATTCTTGGCTTTTGAAAAAACAGGTTATAAAGCAGTATGTGTATGATCTTATTTAAAACAACCCAACAAAATTTAAGTGCCTATTCAAGAAAACAGTGTCCCACCAGCTCTCTGCGTGGGGCTTTGCTTCTACACAGCTAGGCTCTGGGGTGGCTGCTCCTGCCTGGGCTGAGGGACCCACTGCTGCAGGCTCTAAAGAGTAAGCTGGGAAACAAGGAAACACTAAATGGTGGATGACGCCTGTGCTGCAGGAGGGCCCAGAGGCACTGGGGACCCTAGAATGGGAGGCCATGGCAGCCTCCATGGAGGATTTGGCAGCATCACCCAGGGCTGAAGTCACAGCAGCAGGGATCAGGGTCAGGGCTGAGACCGTGGAGCTTGCTCGCAGAGGCAAAGCTGAGAACAAAGAATGGATCCCTGTCACCAAGCTGGGCTGACTGGTCAAGGACACAAGGATCAAGCCTCTAGAGATCTATCTCTTCTCCTGCCGCTGAGGAATCTGAGATCACTAACTTTTTCCTGGGGGTAGCCCGAAAGGACGAAGATTTAAAGATTATGTCCGCGCAAAAGCAGACTGGCCAGAGGACCTGGTTCAAGGCATTTGTCACCAGAGGGGACAGCAATGGTCATGTTGGGCTGGGTGTTAAATGCTCAAAGGAAGTAGCCACTACCATCTGTGAGGCCATCATCCTGACCAAGCTCTCTACTGTCCCTGTGTAGCAAGGTGACTGGGGGAACAAGCCCCACACATCCCTTGCGGGTGACTGGCTGCTGTGGCTCTGTGCTGCTGTGGCCCTGTGCTGCTGTGATTCATCTCTGCCCCCAGAGGCACTAGCATCATCTCAGCCCATGTGCTTAAGAATCAGCTGATGATAGCTGGCATTCACTGCTACCACCTTGGCCAGGGGCTGCACTGCCACCCTGGGCTACTTTGCCAAGGCCACCTTTGTTGCCATTTCTAACACCTACAGATATCTCACTCCCGACCTCTTTGTAAAGACTGTGTTCACCAAGTCTCCTGGCCTGGAACTCACTGACCATCTTGTAAAGACCCACACCAGAGCTTCTGTGTAGGGGGACCCAGGCTCCAGCTGTGGCCACCACATTATTTCGTACAAGAAAAATGAAGTGAATGAAGCCCATTTAAAAAATAAATAAACACAGCCCTGGCCGGTGGCTCAGTGGATTGAGTGCCAGACTGCACACCAAAGGGTTGCTGTTTTGATTCCCAGTCAGGGCACATGCCTGGGTTGTGGGCCGGGTCCCCAGTATGGGGCATGCAAGAGGCAACCACACACTGATGTTTCTCTCCCTCTCTTTCTCCTTCCTTTCTATAAATAAGTAAATAAATAAATAAATATCTTTAAAAATCTTTAAAAATCCATGAATCCACCCATACAAATGGACTATGCTTAGAGAGAACTAAGGGTCCAGGGCTGGGCTGACCTGGCCCAGGTGCATGTGTAGGGTGTGTGTTCACCTGTCGGGGCTGCTCCACGGCTTTCTGAGGGTCACTCTTCACCTTGTTGCTGGGGTGGTTGGTGATCTTGGTCACCGGCTGCTTGAAGATGGACGCTGTCTGCCTGACGGGGAGGGCCGTGTTCAGGTCAGGTTTGCCCTGTGGAGACAGGCATGCTGGCACCAGACCCTCAGAAGCGAGCTTGACTCCCAAGTCCACCAGTCACTAGCACACCCCGGGGCACCCTGGGACCTGAGGGTCATGCTACGCCCAGGCCCTGCCTATCTGCTGCCCTCAATGGGGCTCTGGACACACACCAGCCCCATCCTCGCCTCCTGTGCCTTGTTCTCTGTGAAGCACTGGCCTGGGGGCACCCTGGCCAGCTGTTCTACAGCCAGGCAGGGGGCAAAGTTCCTTTGAGCATGCAGCCATCAGAGACTGGGGAACACACAGCATCACTGGGCACCTGTGTGGACATCAGCTGTTGAAGATGATGTGCTGGGAGGGGAAGTGTGATAGGCACCAGAAGCAGCTGGGGACTTCTCAAGGGACAGAATGACAAATGTTTTTTTATCTTCTTTCTGCTTTTCTGTAGCTTCCAAACTTCCCTCAGCAAATCCTTGACTTCAACACCAGGAAAAATAAACTCTATTACAGAATCAGCTCTCTTCCCCACCCCACCCCGTGGGTCTGAAATGGTCCTCAACTCCACTATGACCGGGTGGAGCTGGGTAGGACAGCTCACCTTGACCTGGTTGGAGGAGTCATAGCGCACCCGCTGCCGGCTCTTGTTCATCTTGCTCATCAGCATCTTACCGGTCCGGAAGTCAAAGGCTCCCAGGTCCATGGAGCCACCCAGGTACCGCGCCAGCTGCGGCTTGCTGCGGAACTTCTTTCCACTTGGGCTGAGGACAGAGAGGGGTCAGCGGCTGCAGGACATGCTGTGCTGCCCCATACCCCTAACACCTGGCCCACAGAATACTCCAAAGCTGAGAGCAGGGAATGAACACCTGGACCTACAGAGGGATAGGGCCTAGCCCTGGGACCCCAGCTGTCATTTCCAGAACATTCCAGAAACAGAAGTAGGCAGAGTTTTTGAGAAAAGACCCAATGATAGCAGGTATTTGAAGGACAGGTCCTAACAGCAGTCTCCTTTTGGTGTCTACAGCATTGGAAGCTGGGGTTTCTGAGGGGCAGGGTGGTGAAATCTCATGTTAAGATTCAGGGCTAGGACCCAAACAACTGCTCTGAAGCTCTGCGCCCTGCTCAGCCCCTAGAACACACAGGGACGCAGTACAGTCGGTGCAACCTCGCTGGAGACCAGCAGCACCAGGCCCAGCGCACAGCAACAGTATTGCTATGTAAACTTGTGCAGCCACGCTGGAAATGGTCAGACAGCTCTTCAAAGGACTGAACAGAAATTCCACCCCTGGTTATCTCTCATGAGAAATGAAAACACATATCCATGCAAAAACTTACACCCCAATATTCACAGCAGCAGAATTTGCAATAGGTCTAAGTGGAAACAATCCAGATGTCCATCAACTAATGAAGAGATAAACAAAACATGACCCACCCACACAATGGAATATCACTCGGCCATGAAAAGGAGTGAATATTCCTTCCGACACTTGATACAACGTGGATGGACCCGGAGCACATGATGCTCCTGAGAGAAGCCAGACACAAAAGGCCACAATGTATGTGAGGTCCTTTGTGTGACATGTTCAACAGGAAAATCTACAAGTAGAAGAAGTGGATTTGTGGGTGCCAGGCCTAGGGAGGAGGATGGCCAACTGCTGACGGGCATGGGGAAACCTATGGGACAAGCCCCTAATCTGAACAAGTGCATGTCTGCCCTCTCCAATCTTGCTACAGATGTCTTGGCACATAACAGACAAGACACAACGGAGGACAGGATGGGATTTATCATAGCCAGAAAGACACCCACTTTTATAGTGGTGCACACAGATCTGTCAGCCCTGCTGGCACCTCTGACCAGGAAAGGTCATTGCTGGAGCCTATGCTATTTCCCTTGGCCTGGCCACATCCCCTAGGACAGGGTGCCCAAGCTCAGAGTCCCCTCTCTGCCTCAGGTTCTGAGGCTGCTAAGGACTCTTCTGGAAGACCTACTTTTCTATTATGCTCTGTATTGGCTGATGTGAACACTCAGGGCAGCAGAAAGGCAAAGAGGGAAGGGACCCCCATGAAACACTCACCAGTATTTCTTTGCCTCCAGTCACCCCCCACCCTTGGTTGTTCTATCTTTAAAAAATGAGAAAGGTCCTGGCCAGGCGGCTCAGTTGGTTGGAGCATCATCCTGTGCACCAATAGGCTGCAGGTTCGATTCCCGGTCAGGGCACATACAGAAGGCAACCAATCAATGGTTCCCCGCTGATTGGTTCCCCCAATCAAACCTCCCCATGTTTCTCTCTCCCCCCGCTTCCTCCTTCTAAAATCAACAAAAACATATTCTCAGGTGAGAATTAAAAAAAAGTCCCTGGCTGGTGTGGCTCAGTGGATTGAGTGCCGGCCTGAGAACCAAAAGGTTGCTGGTTTGACTCCCAGTCAGGGCTCATGCCTGGGTTGCGGGTCTGGTCCCTTGTTGGGGACACGTGAGAGGCAATCAAGAGACACTTCTCGCACCAGTGTTTTTTTCCCTTTCTCCCTCCCTTCCCCTCTCTCTAAAAATACATAAAACCTTTAAAAAAAAAGGCCCTGGCTTGTGTGGCTCAGTGGATTGAAAATCAATCCACTGTGAATCAAAGAGTCGCAGGTTTGATTCTCAGTCTAGGGCACATGGCTGGGTTGTAGGCCAGGTCCCCAATAGGGGGCACACGAGAGGCAACCACACATTGATGTTTCTCTCTTTCTTTCTTCCTCCCTTTCCCTCTAAAAATAAATAAATAAAATCTTTAAAAAATGAATGAGCATAGAGTAATAGACACAACTTGGATTAGCAATTACTTAGGTCTAGGAGATGGGGCATGGGGCAGTGACAGCTAAAGGTCTGGAGCTCTTTTTGGGGGTGATGAAAATGTCCTAAAGTTAGCTGTGGTGATAGCTGTGTGTATCTGTAAGTATGCCAAAAAACACTCAATTGCACATTCTAGAGGGGTGACTTATATGGTACGTGTACCCTATCTCAATAAAGCTGTTTTGAAAAAAGTGCCAGGAGCTAAGAGAGGGAATGGAAAGCAACACTAATGGGCACAGGGCTTCATCTGGGAGTGATGAGAATGTTCTGGAACTACAGTGGTGATGGCTGTACCATGCTGTGAAACATACTAAAAACTGCCAAATTATAAGCTTTTAAAGGGTGAACTGTATGCAATGAGAAATTGTATGTCAATTTTCAAAACAGGTTTTGGAGCTCTGTACTGACACAGAAGACACCCCTGATATTTAGTGAATGAGAAAATGAATGAGGACCACAGCCCTTCTCTGGAGGCAGGCCTACTGGGGAGCGTGGCTAGTTGTGGAGCCTGGGGGCCCAAAGGGATGCAAGAGGATGGATACTTGCCTCAGCCCTGGTCCTTCCTATACCTCCACTTCTCATCCGTAGACAGGGCTACTGTTCTACTTTTCCTGAGTCTATTTCTACTTTTTAAATGAGATCTTTTACAAAAATCTCCTCCATGCTACACACCCCAAAGAATTATCTGTTCAGTCAGGGTACTGACTTCCCCCAAGTCCTCAATTTCCTGCCTGCATAGAAAATGTCAAGAAGTGGCCCTGGCTGGTGTAGCTCAGTGGACTGAGCACGGGCCTGCGAACCAGACAATCGAGGTTCGATTCCTGGTCAGGGCACATTCCTGGGTTACAGGCCAGTTCCCTGCAGGCCAATTCCCAGCAGGGGATGCATGAAAGGCAACCACACATTGATGTTTCTCTCCCTCTCTCCTTCCCTTTCCCTCTAAAAGATAAATAAATAAAATCTTAAAAAAAAAAAGAAAAAGAAAATGTCAAGAAGTGAGGCTGTTTACACAAAGAAAACATGCAGTTGCCACCACATGCTCTACCCCTCAGCCCCCAGTCTCAGTACACTCTGGGAGTGAAGCTTGGGCAAATCATCAAGATGGAGGGATGGGTGGGTGAGCCCCAAGGGGAAGGTGTGTAGGATCTCCTCACCTCCCCTGCAATGCAATTCTTCTAAGAACACACTTGCTCCCTTCAGTTTCTGAACAAGGGCACCAAGAATTCGAGGCCTACATGTTCCCAGGGGCAGGGCTAGAACCCAAGGCCAGGATTGTCTGTCTTGGTTCCCCACTGCATTAAGAGAATAAGGAAAATCTGTGCTTCTGCCCAGTCGCCTTATTCAGCATGGGTCTTCACAAAGTGGTGAGGCAGCCAGGAGCCCACATTCCCCAGGAAAACACCAGAGCTCCACATCACATCCCCCTAAACTTCCCACCACTAGGAGAAAGGGAGACACCTGGTGGGTATCTGGTGGGTTACTCAGGCCAGAGATCTGGGAATGGAGCTGGACTCGGGACCCCCTCCTCATCCATCTCAGGCCCTCACCTCTTCAGTATAGCCATGGGAAACCTGAGGTCCCATCTGTCCAGCTCCAGTTTGGAGTTTTTCCTCACCTCCAGACCCCAATGCTCAGGGCTGGAGCCTCAGAGTGGAGCCCCGCTCAGCTGAGGCCCTAACAAGCTCCAGGGTAAGGAAGCCTGGGAGTGCTCCAGCCCCCCACTGCAGTTCCCACTACCTGGGTACTGCTCTTTCTGGCTCCTGTTAGGGCTCAGCTCAGTGTAACCTCCTCAGAGAGGCCCTCCCTGAACTGCCCCAGCCTGCCAATACACCCTTACCACCAACCATCACAGATCCTTACACTGCTAAGCATATGGCACCACCTAAAACCCAGGAGTAACAGGGTGAAGGCTGGTGCCTAAGCTGTAAACTGGGCAGCGGGGGCGGCGGCTGGGGTCCTGCTCCCAGTTGAATGGCCAGGACCCAGCAGTGTCAGACGTTCAGCAGAGGCTGCAGGGGTGTTTATTAAACTAACAAAAGACTACAAGCATAGAGTCCTGCCTCAGCTGTTGAATCTAAAAGAAAGCAAGTACACAAGCATGTTTGGAATTAAATGAGGCACGCAGTTTCTAGCTCGAGGCTTCCCTACTGACCTAGGACAGAACTAAAGGGATTTAGGTTTTCTAAAGAGCCTGTGAGTAATGTCACAGTAGGTGGTAGCAAAGGAGAATGCACGTGTCCCCGAGAAAGGCAGTATGCGGTGCCACTATGTCAGTAAGTTAGAGTCCAGCCAACTCCCATACACATTTCGAAGCCCAGTTTGGCTCCCCACTGGCGCCCTGCACTTTCTGGAAACCAGAAACCAAAACCCGAGCCTGTCCTGGACTAGTCACTATCCCTTTCCTGTTTACTTCCCCGCCTTCTACCAAAACTGGACTAGCAAAGGCCCAGGTTTTGTCCGAGTGCTGGGAGGACAGTGTTGGTTCTGCTGTTTCGTGGCCTCACCCAGCCTGCTTCTGAGCCCATGACCCGGCTGCATACACCCCAGCAACCGCTGGCATTCAACACGAGGCAGGTATCCTGCCAGCTCTTTCACTAGGGACTTGAGGCGAAGGGCAGGGAACCGTCAAAGCTGGCTCAGAAACAAAAGCATCTTCTACCAGTCAGGGGAAAAGAAAAAAAAAGGAAGACTAAAGCAAATAGCAGGTGGCCCACCGTCTGGGGTTGGGCTGCCACTAATTCTTTGTTCCACAGAGGCCACTTCTCCCGATCCAAGGGCAGCCCCTCCTTCCAATTTGGAGGAGGGTTAACTCTGAAAACCTCAGACTACCAATAACGAAAACAGAGAGGCAAGGGTCTTTGTGTGCTGGGTTCACAAAGTCTCACATTCCACGCCTCTACGGGAGAAGACATATCCAACGGAGGGTGGCGCTCTCGGAACACACCCAAAGATGGAAAAAGAGCGGCCCTTCAAAAACACGCTGCCCAGGGGCCCGGCTACCCTAGGAAGGGCCCAAAAGCCGCATTCCTAGGTACGCCCTCCCAGCCCACCAGAGAAAACCTAGCCCAGCCCCCACCCCTGCCTCCCAGCGGCGTCTGGCCAGCGTCGGGCGCCCCTCCGCCCTCCCGCATGTTTGCCACAGCCGCCGAAGGCAGCTGGTCAACCACCCAAAGCCAATCCGTACGCCATGCGTCCACGCTAGGAGCGCACGCGCACTGGGCGGACGGTGGGTGGGGTGAACCGCGGCGCGCGCTCACGCACGCGCACCGGGTCAAGCTCCAGCCGCGCGCCAGTACGTACGCACGCACGCACGCACGCCGTACGCGCGGGGCCCAGGCCGCAGCCCAGGTCTGGGTGCCCAGGCTGCCGCAGAGACCGCTGGGAGGCGCTCGTTGGGGCCCTGCCCGGCCGGCACGTTCATTCACCTATAGTAAAAGACATCCCTGTGGCCGGCCGACAGCCCCGACCTTCTGGGCACTTCTTCCCTCTCCCAGCCCTGCGGGAGCGCCGGACACTCCCACCTCTTCCGCTCCATCGCGCCCGGCTCCTCGGCCCGCCGCTGCCGTCGCTGCCCGGACCCCCGGTCTCCGCCGCCGCCTCAGCTGCCTTCTCCTCCGCCGCCGCCACTTACCGTGGCTGTTCCGGCCCGCAGGCCCCCACCCTCCACCCCCAAGTCGGGCGCGCGCCGGCTTTGCCGCCCTCTCAGCCCCCTCCCCGCGCTCGCCAGCCCCCGCTCGGGGGGCCCGCTCCGCCCACCCGCCCGCGCGCGGGGCGGCGTGCTGCGCAGGCGCCACGCCGGTCCCGCCCCGCGGCGACAGCGCCAATCAGCAAGCGGACAGGCAGCCTAGCTTGGTGCGGCACGAGGCTATCGCGCTCAGCGCCTGCGTCTGTTAGCAGTGTCGCCCCCTGTCTCGTGGGGGGTCTCCCTCCTGCGCCTGTCACCATGTCCACGCTTGGATCCCGAGGTGCCCATCCGGTGCCGGACCCGTGTTCCACTGCCCCCCCAGTCTCACAACATTTAGATTCTAAACCAGCCGGGGCCACTGCCGGCGACCACCCGCTATATATCCCGGATCCCGGATCCCATCTAACGCTTTTCTGACTCAGAATCCGGGGATATGCTTCATTCTTCCCTTGTCCAGCTTAGTCTAACCACCATCTTTCGCCTGGAAGTCCAGGGCCTTCCTAAAGAACCTCTCGCCTTCCTTTTGTCCCTCCCCCTATAACCCCTTTCTCTTCTCATCCAGAGGGTCCAGGTGGCGCTGCCCCCTGGTTTCATTGCTCCCCTAGGGCAGAGCCTGACCGGCCCAGGGCAGGTACTTAATTAAGATTGCTGTATGAGTGGACAGTTGTGGCCAGTACCGTAAGTAGGCTGGACCTCCTGGCCGTCCGACCTAATGTCTGCCTTCTGGATGAGTTAGGAGAATGCCGGTGGTAAGGCCCCAAGTTCCACCCCGGGAGACAGAGAGGTGGTCTGCACACCTGGTTCTCCCCTGCAGGTGTCTTTTCAGCCCCAGACCCCGTGATTCATGCTCTGGTTGAAGGCAGGGCCTGGGCGAAGAAACCCAAGCCCACAGCAGGCAGGTGTCTTCAGGTGAGTGCAATTTTTCAAGATTTCTTGTCCCTCTCCTGGGTTCCCCAAGGGGCAGCTGCACAGACAGCAGCAGCAGGGCATAGTGGCTAAGCAGGCACCCTGAGTGGGCGGGTTGTCACTGGGTTACAGAGCTGGTTTGAAGCCTTATGTTCCTATCTGCAAACCCAGGACTCCAGGATTCTGGCCTTATTTGGTTCTTAACTGACTAGGTATGTTTTCCAGCATGTACAACTTTTTTCTTTTTCTTTTAAGATTTATTTTATCCTCATTCAAGAGAGGGAGAGAGAAGCATTGATTGGTCGTCTTCACGGGCACTTTGAGGATTGAACCTACAATGTAGGCATGTGCGCTGACCAGGAATTGAACTGATGATGACATTTTGGTTACAGGATGACACTCCAACCAACTGAGCCCACCAGCCAGGGCATGACTTCATTCCTTAATTGAAGAAATATAATTACAGAGACAACACACATTAATTGTAATCAGTGAAACCATCCAAACATGTTTAAACAAAAAAGTTATCAAATACCCCCCACCCCACTTTGTGTCAGGGGTCCCCAGGACTATCTCCCCTGCAATCCAGCTTTCAGTTTTTTGAGTGTACACAGAAATGGGATTCCAGAAGTAAAATCACTGTGTTAGGCGGTGATTCTATGTTTAATGCTTCAAGGAAACACCATCCTGTTTTCCACAGCAGCTGCCCCATTTCACCTTCCCACCAGCAGTGCACCAGTGCACGAGGGTCCTCCACACCCCTGCCAGCACTTGTTTTCTGTGTTTTGTTTTCTTTCTGATAGTAACTATCCTGATGGGTGTGTGGCATTGGGTCACAGGATTTTGACCTCAAGAACCACTGTCAAATATATACCATATGTGCCCCCACTTTCTCCTCAGTTGCTTCTCAGGGAATCTGGCCTAAGCTGGGCTCCTGGGATCATACCCCTAGTAGCTGGTCCCGAAGCTGTGTGCTGACGCAGTGGCCTGACTGGGAGGGTGGACATGCCCCAGGAGGGGGGATGGGGCTGCCCACTTCCCTCCTCTTTGCTGTTCCTTTCTTTGCTTCTTTGAAACGAACCCCCTTTCTCAGGCTCCTTGGCTTAGTCCCCAAGTAGACACCCTTTCCTACCCATCTCTGCAAGGGAAAAAAATAGGAATTAAGCTGGAAGGCGCCAAATGAGGACCCTTCAAAAAGACTTTCTGTGGCAGGGTCTCCCCTCGGCACCGCTTACACTGGGGCCCAGTCTATCTCTTTGTGGGATGTGGGATGTCCTGGGCACCATGGGTATTGAGCAGTATCCCTTACCCCCACCTACTCCATGCCAGGAGCACCTCTTACTCGTGACAACTACAGATGTCCTTAGACACTGCAATGGTCCTTGCAATCTAATACAAGGCTAGGGAGGCACTCTCCTGGGGCCTAAAATTAGGTGGGGCACCATATACCTTGGTCATCAAAATGAATGGTATTAAAGCAATGTTTTAAGAATTTAAAATGCACGCAAAAAATCCGTTGTGAACAAAATGTCAAAGTTTTTATGCTCTGGCAAAAGTACCAGGTTTAGCATGCACAAAGCCAAGAAAACCAATGATGCCAGATACTGAACTTATCTCATGGTCCTTTGAACACCCAGCAAGAGTAAACTGCTGAGTGCAGGTGCCATGCAGTGCAACAGAGGGTGGGAGTTTCATGTGAGTACAGGCTTGGATGAACAGTGCTGTGTCAAGCCATTTTGGAAACTAAAATAGGATGACACATGCCCCATTTATACGTGTTTTTATGTTGTTTTTCTTAATGGTTAACTTTTCCCCAGAACATCAAAGTGGTTGAAAAAATATTGAGATACTGAAAATGAATTGTATTAAAACTTACAGTAGTTTGAGATTAAATATTCTGTTTGTACCCAAACCTGTATTAGGATTTCACTTTTATGACTTTAACAGAAGCAAACTCATATATATATATATATATATATATATATATATATATATATATAACTGAGTAACTTATATAAGTTACTGTCTGTTTCCACCTCTAGATCTTTTTATTTTTTAAAGATTTTATTTGCCCCAGCTGATGTGGCTCAGTGGGTTGAGTGCTGGCCTGGGAATCAAGGGGTCGCAGGTTTGATTCCCAGTCTAGGTAGGGCACATGCCTGTATTGCAGTCGGGTCCCCAGTAGGGGGTGCATGAGAGGCAACCACACATTGATGCTTCCCTCCCTCCCTTTCTTCCCCTCTCTCTAAAAATAAATAAAATCTTTAAAAGAAGAAGAAGAAGAAATGAGTTGCCCAAGGTCTGAGTGTATTTCTGGACTCTCAATTCTGTAACATTGGTCTGTCTTTTGTTTTTCTGCCAATACTGTACTGTTCAATTGTTTCGACTTTGTAGTATAGTTTGGAGAGTGTAATATCCTTGGTTATTCGTGGTACCTGATGGATCGTTTCTCTGTGTATTTGAGTCAGTAAGCTCTTGTTTAGGTTTTACATATTTATTTTTATTAGAGAGAGGGGAAGGGAGGAAGAGGGAAACGTGAGTCAGTTGCCTCTTGCAGTCACCCTGACCAAGGACTAAACCCAGGCAGGTACCCTGAGCAGGAATCGAACTGGTTACCCTTTGCTTTACGGGATGATGCCCAGCCAACCGAGCCACACTGGTCAGGGCTAAGGTAGTGAACTCTGGTTTGGGTACTGTTTTGGTCTTAGCAATTCAGCAGGTTAAGTAGAGGTCTTTTCTTTTCCAATATGAGGAGCTGTAGCACATTGTTTTCTCTCACCTCTGCTGCCTCTACAATGTCCTGCCTCTACCAGGATCTGCTGCCTGGGTGGGCAAGGGGGGATGAGACCCAGTCTTCTACTTTGCCTCCTTGCTAGTTGTGGCCCCTAGGCCACAGCTTGGCGCACTGCTCTGCCACTTGTCAATGAGTTTAGCTGCATTAGGCACTGGCTACTCAGGCCAGAATGTGGCTTCTGCCCCTCCTGTCCCCTGGCTGCCACATGAGGGATGCAGCTTGGCTCCTCCACCACTACCTCGTCAGCAGGGCTGTGGCGGGTACTGGTCTGCATTTGAGGACCTGTTTTTCTCGTTCCTTGTCCCACCTCTCCTGCTCATTCTGATGTCCCATTCAACCTCTCAGGCATATCTGTGAGCAAAACAGGGTCCTTTGTAGAGTTAGTTATCTGACTTTAAGGAGAGGAAAAAGGGCTGTTCTCTTTCTGCCATGATGCTGATGTCACTCCTCAGACATTTTTGTTACAAGCATTAACCATTACAAAAGTACATAAAAACACAGGAATCAGGACACACTTCCTTTTGCTTCAGGCTACAGTATGGTTCAGCACAACCCTGTCAAGCCTGCACGTATTACATGCTGTTAACAAAAATTTAACAGTACTCATTTATCTCACTATTCACCATGTGTTGAACAGACATGTTCATATGTCTAAAAGAACATCACAAATATTATGATGGCAAACGACAAAAACTTAACATCCCTCACTGGTTAATAAATGTTAGTACCAGGTAGCCCTGGCTGGTGTAGCTCAGTGGATTGAGCACAGGCCTGCGAACCACACGATCGTGGTTCGATTCCCAGTCAGGGCACATGCCTGGGTTGCAGGCCAGTTCCCAGCAGGGGACACACAAGAGGCAACCATACATTGATATTTCTCTCCCTCTCTCCTTCTCTTCCCCTCTAAAGATAAATAAATAAAATCTTAAAAAAAAAATATACAGCTGTTGCTCTGGCTGGTATGACTCAGTGGACTGAGGGCCAGCCTGCAAATCAAAAGGTCACGGGTTCGACTCCCAGTTGGGGCACAAGCCTGGGTTGCAGGCTGGGTCCCCAGTAGGGGGCGCAAGAGGCAACCACACATTGATGTTTCTCTCCCTCTTTTTCCCTCCCTCTCTCCAAAAATAAATAAGATCTTTTTTAAATAATATTTTTTAGATTTTGTTTATCTTTAGAGGGGAAGGAAGGAGAGGAGAGAAATAGTGTATGGTTGTCTCTCGTGCATTTCCCTGCTGGGAACTGGCCTGCAACACAGGCATGTGCCCTGACTGGGAATCGAACCACGGTGGTTTGGTTCCCAGGCCCACACTCAATCCACTGGGCTACACCCACCAGGGCAGATCTTTAAAAAAATATATACGGCAGTTATGAACTGAATGTGTCCCCCACTGAAATTCACATTGCAATTCTGAGTCCCAGTGTGTGGCTATATCTGGAGATGGAGCCCCTAAGGATGTAATGAGCTTAAATGAGATCAGAAGGGTAGGGCCCTGGCCCCGCCCAGGATTAGTATTGTTCTAAGAGACACCAGAGAGCCCACTTGCTCTTTCTTCCTCCTGCTCAGGCATCAAAGAGAGGCTTTGTGCAAGAAGACACAGTGAGAAGGCAGCTGTCTGCAAGCCAGGAATTGGGTTCTTACACAAACCAACCCTGCCAGAACCTTGATCCAACTTTCAGCCTCCACAACTGAGAAAATTGAAACTACCTTAGACACCTATATTCTGTTGAGCCACCCAGTCTGTGGTTTTGTTATGGTGGCCTGTGCAGACTAATATAATAGCTATCTTCAGAGCCCGGCTGGTGTAGCTCAGTGGATTGCGTGCAGGCCTGTGAGCTAAGGGATCGTGGTTGAGTCGCAGTTGGGGCACATACCTGGGTTGCAGGCCAGTTCCCAGTGGGGGACACATGAGAGGCAACCATGTATTGATATTTTTCTCCCTCTCTCCTTCCCTTCCCCTCTAAAGATAAATGAATAAAATCTTCTTTAAAAAAAAATAGCTATTTTCACAAATATGCTCTATCTGCATTCAGTGTTTCTAGAATTTTCAAGAACTTGGCAAGAGTTGGAGAGAAATGGATAGGGGCACCAGGGAGGGAACAGACTGTGCCATATCCTTATGTACTTATTTTTGTATGCTTCATGTGATGGTTTAACGTTTCTCTAAGTTCTGATAGTTCTCCTTTCAAAATAGAGCCTAATTCTCCTTCCCTGGAATGTGGGCTGGACTGAGATGTGATCCTAACAAATGGAATGTGCACTGAGAACAGAAGAGAGGGATGAGACTTCCGAAGGTAGATCATAAAAGACATGCGGCTTCTGCCCACTCTCTCTGCAATCACTTGCTGGAGGATGGGGACGGCCAGCAGCCACACTGTGAGGATGCTCAGGAGGCACTGTGGGCATGCCACATGGAGAGAAGCCGAGGCCTCACGTGAACAGCCGTATGAGGAAGCCATCCTGGAAAAGGCTCCTCCAGCTCCAGTCTCGCCTGCCATCAGATGAGGCAACTCCAGCCAGCAGCTTGACTGCAAGGACCCCAAACAAGGACCATCCACCTAAGTTACTCCAAAATGCTTGGCCTACAGAAACTGAAAATAATGTTTGTCATTGGGTAATTTCGTAAGGTAGCAATAGATAAACACACTTTATAGATATTATCCATTATGCAGCTTAAATAACCAATTTCTGCCAGCCATTGGGAAATCCCTAGATTTGCAAAATTTTGGAGCTGAAAGGACCCCTGGGTCATCTAAGCTACCAGGTTACCAAGGTTACCAAGCCTCTAGTATCACCACATCCAGGCAGGGCAGGTTTCAGAGCAAGGTTTAATGTAGTCACACATCAAAGTTATTTTCAAAAACACAGAAAGTCCCAAGTAGTGCTGTGAATCTCCTTGCAATCCATGCTGAGGGCTGGTGCTGTTCCAGACGTAGCAGGTGCTGAGATGGAAGCTATTGGCAACCCTGGCCACCTGAAGGGGGAACACGGCAAGGTGAGCAGAAGGCTCCAGGCTCCTGTTCTTATGGGAAGAGGCACTGAGTGGGGAGAAGGAACATAGATGCTGCCGCGAGGTTCCAAAACCAGACCTAGCTGTGCAATCTAGATGGTACATGACCAGGGTCTCATCTGTGATGTGGGATGAAGACATGCCCACTCTGAACTATCATGTGGGCAGTGACTTAATAACAGAGACAACATGGGCAGTACATTGTGGTTACACCAGGAACTAATGAATAAGTCGGAGGGCTCATTCCTGCTCAGAGCAGCCCATTCAGGGAAGCCAGTGGCTGTGGGTCAACCTCCACTGTCCCCATCTGTAAACTGGGCTTTCCTCTGTTCTGCCCAGGGCTGGGCAAGCAGGGTGCACGGTCAGTCTCCAGGACTGAGCACTGAGGAGCAATGCCAACTCTGCCGTCCAACAAGCTGAGGCTGCCAACTGGCAGCTCTGTGCTGATGGGCAGGGAGGTACCTGGAGAGCCTACCCCAGAGTTCTGGCTCCAGACTGATTCCCCAGGGTGAATAGTCCAGGTGAGCCTTCCAGCCCTGCTGCCCCAGGCCTGGAAGTGTGGGAACCCACCTTGTGGAAGCGCATCACCTGCCAGCAGTCACTAAACTTACCAGTGAGGAGGGTCGGTTTAACTAGTGATCCTTCTTAAACTTGCCATTGATGTAGGGTACCCAGTCCAGAATCAGCCGCCAGTCAGTGGCCCACACTAGCCCCACGGTGCCCACGGCGCCCCACATGCCTGCTGTGGGGATCCTGTGAGAGAACAGCAGGAGTCAGACCCTGCTGGGGGCTCATCCTCCTGGTAGCACATGTTGGTCCCTCCCTCCATCCCTAGCTACCGTACTAGTACGCACTCACCATGTACTGGCCCACATGTTGGGCACACCCTGCTGATGATCCTGAAGGTAGGCACAGGTAGAAGACCCTGAAGTGATGTGACTCCTATCTGCTTTCATACTGTGACCTGCCTAAGGTTTCATCTGAGGGATCTACTACTAATACTAAAACAAACAACACAAGCTTGTAACTGCCATAGCCAACAGCTAATGGGTACGTGCAGGCACCATATATACAGTTTACAGTGACTGGTTGACCCCTGCAACTGCCTAGAACTGAAGGAGGCATGAGTGTCAGGGAAAACAGTTCCTGTTTTCCAGATGAGACCTGGGAGGGAGGGTGATTCACTCCCCTGAGGACACACAGTCTTATACCATAAATCTGGTTTGTTTACTTTCTGTTGTCCACTGACTAGAGCATCAGCCACCAAGGTTCCACTTATCACTGTGTCTCCAGGACTCAACAGTGCCAGCTAGGTGTTGGCACAGAGCGTGTGCTCAGTAAGTGCTTGTTAACTGAAAGCCTGGTTGAGGGTGTCGCTGCTCTGACCAAGCCCGGATGAAAATGGACCAACTGAGCTCAGGGAAGTCGGACCCAACAGGCAGAGGGACTGTATGGGCGCCAGTGGAACCAGGGGCAACCTTCACCGTGCAACCCTGGCCACTCTAGCTGTCAGTCACCACTATCAGTGTCCACCTGAAAGTCCCTGCCAGAGTCATTATCCAAAGATAGCTCCCACTCCTCCCTCCCTGGGCTCGAGGACACGACTACCAAATGCGGCCCCCTCTTTCTTAGCGCTTCACGCTATCACCCCAATTCCATCGGACTCCCACATGGGGACGGTAAAAGGTGCAGCCGTGGGCTTCACAAGTCTTGTTCAAGACCATTTAAAAAGTTAAAAGCAAAGCCGGGAACGTGTAGGATCAGTTTTCAGGCCCAAATAGTTGAGCCGGGGTGCTGGGTCGGGACAGGGTGGGTACCTCCCGGGCGGCCCCGTAAGAAATGGGTACAACTGAGGCTCAGAGAGGTTCGGCTAAGGGACCAGGAGCCTGTGTATGTGTGCCCGAGCCAGACCGTTCCGCCTCTCTGCCTTTCTCCATGTGGCCCGGCACGATTTGTGGTCTGGGGGCGGCGGTGCGCGCACTGATAGGGGGAGAGCAACGGCGGCGCGGATCGAGGAGGGTGGGCGTGGGGTGCGGAGGGCAGAGGCCGCCACCTCACCAGTTCTTGGCCAGTTGAAGGTAGCGTGGGCCCAGCAACTTGCTCAGCATCGCGATGCAGTCTGCACTTCAGGGTGACCCCGGTTCCTCCCGGCTGGGACGTACAGCGTTAGGCGACCTGAGAGGCCCCGCCCCGGGCCCACAGATCACGCGAAATTCAGACCCGGCCACTGCGCGCGCAGACCCGGAATACATTAGCAGTCATTTCCGGGGCGGGGTGGATGACGTTTAGACGAGGGTGAGTGTGGGCGGGCTTATAAGTACTTGACCTGGGTCTCTAGTTCAGTCTCGTATCAGCTGTCATAGAGGTCCCAGCTGTGCGGCCACCAGTAACTAAGGACAGCCCGCGACATTTAGCTGGTGGCTTCATGTTTTTACTACGTGCCAGAATTTCATTTACAATTAACGAAACTAAGGTCAAGAGAGGAGGAGACTTGCCCAGAGTCGCCCAAGGGGCAGGGTATGATGTGAACCCATTTCTAGGGTAGTGGAGCTGTCACTGACCCTTTCTTAATGGCCTTGGCCAAAGGGCAGAACTTCTCTGAACTTGTTTCTCCTCGTGTTTGTCTGTTGGAATTTTCTGCACGCTTTCTTTGGTAAGTGCTTCCTTCTCCCGGTGGCGGAGGGTGGCCGGCTCTGGACCCCGAGGACACCCGAGTCCCCTGATAGATGATGCGCTGCTCGGACTGGTCCACCCTCTCCTGGCTGACCACCGATCAGGCTCGCTAGGTCCCTGAGTAGGAGGCAGCAGGCTCCGGAGGTAAGTTCCGGACACCGTGGGTGTGCTGCCCAGCCCTGCCTCCTTGGATCTGCCCCCAGAGCCCTCAACCCTCTGCCTGCAGGAGCTGCAGGTTCCCACCTGTCCCTGACCCCTGGCCTCCGGCCCCGGACTGGGAGCCGGCAGAAATATGTAGTAACTGTGATCTGGTTTCTCATTCATTTCAGTTGCTCGAGAATTTTTGAGTCTAGTAGTTTAGTATAAGATAGGACCTGAAAAAGTCTCTGTTCTTGATGGGAACTTAAAAAGTGGAAAAGTAGAGGCCGTTATGTTGATTGTTGAGAGAGAGGAAGAGAGAACTGCCTGAAAAGACTAGCAGACACTGGCCTGGAGGCCTGGGGCTGCAGAACTTGGATTCAGCAGTTCCTGAAGCCTTGCCACCATTGCTGCTTCTGCATAATGTTCCAGCTAGGACAACAACGAGGGTAAGAGAAGTTTTATGGTGCATTGTATAACTTCAGAGGTGGCTGGATCCAGGAGTCTGGCAATATCACTGGGAATCTCTCAGTTCTTTTTCCTGTGTTACCCGCATTCTCTGGCAAACTCTTTCTGGGCAGCATCGCCCGCAAGCTCTGGGTTCATATTCCAGCATCTCCTGCAGGAAGGTGGAACCTCTTTCCCAGTAATTGAAGACAATGTCCCAAGGCTGGTTCTTGTGAGCCTGCTTGGGAAACAGGGCAGAATCAGCTTCTCTCATATGAGGACACAGGCTGAAATGGAAAGAAGAGGATCCCCCAAAGAGAATAACCAGGATGCTGTGACCACAGGAGATGCTGGGTAGCAAGAACTGCTGGCCTCCCTCCTGCCTGCCGAACCTCTGCTGAGAGGCCTCCTGGATTCCCTGTGTGTTCCTGTCTGCCCTTCTGGTGAAAACTGAACTCCTTTTGTTTTTATGGATAAGAAATTCACATAACATAAAGTTATCCATTAAAACATACACTGCAGTGGCATTTAGTGCACTCACCAGGCTGTGTAACCACAACCTCTATCTAGTGCCACAACATTTTCATCCCTCCTAAAATAAGCCCCATCCCCATCAGCAGCCACTCCCCAGCCCCTCCCGGCCCTTGACAGGCATGAATCCACTTCCTGGCTCTGGGGACTTGCCTGTTCTGGACATTCCACACACATGGGATCACCCTGCGGTCTTGTTTACCTGGCTTCTCACTGAGCACCATGTTCTCAGGGCTCATCCACGTCGTAGCAAATGTCAGTGCTTCACTCCTTTTTCAGCTACAGTTGACATTCAACATTATATTAGTTTCAGGTGTTCAGCATAGTAGTTAGACATTTATATAACTTACAAAGTGATCCCCCATAAGTCTGGTACCCACCTGGCACCACACATAGTTATTACAGGTGCTTCACTCCTTTTCACAGCTAAAATTCTAGGGCCTGGATGGACATTGTGTTTGTCCATGAATCTGTGGATAGACTCTTTTAAAATTTCTACAACTTAGCATAATCAATAAAAAAATTTAAAAAAAAGAAATTAAACGTAAAAAAAATTTCTACAACTTTATTGACATCTATTTGGCATAGACAAATGCATATATTTAAACATACAGGTGGGCATTAGGACACATGCGTGTGTCTGAAACCATCACCACTGCTGATGTGATGAATGCCTCCCCTGCCCCCTCCCACCCCAGCCATCACTTGTCTGCTGTCTGCTACTATCAATTACTTTGCATTTTCTAGACTTTTCTAGAAAGGGAACCATACAGTTTGTTCTCTCTGGTATCTGGCCTCTCCCGCAGAGCAGAAGTATTCTGAGAGTCACCCAGTCGTTGCGGCTGTCATCCTTCTGTTGCTGGGTTGTATTCTTCGCTATGTGTGGACCTGTGCGTTCACTCACGCGGTGAAAGACGTGCTGGTTGTTCCCAGGTTTTTCTGTTACAAACAAAGCTGCAGTGGATGGTCATGTCCATATTGCATGTCTTGGTTTCTCTGGGGTGGGTGCCTGGGACTGGAGGGGCTGTCTCATAGGAAAGCATAGGTTTAACTGTTGAAGAAACTGCCAAACTTTAAAAACAAAACATTGATCGGTTGCTTCTCCTACATGCCAATCGGGGACCAAACCTGCAACCCAGACATGTGCCCTGACCAGGAATTGAACCGACGACCTTTCACTTTGCAAGACAATGCCCAACCAACTGAGCTACACCAATCAGAGTGCCAAACTCTTTTTAAAAAATTGATGTATAATTGACATATAACATTCCACTAGTTTCAGGTGTGCTGCCACTGTTTCCTGAAGTAGCTGTACTCATCCACCAGACACCTGAGACTCCTGTGGCATTTGCACGTTCTACTACTTTAAAAAGGACACTCGCTATATCATTTCCATAGCTGCTATAACAGCTGACCACTCGTCAGCTGGCATGAAACAATGGTAGTATATTTAACCTCTCCAAGTTCTGGAACCAGAAGTTCTAGATCAAGGTGGCACAGGGCTGCGCTCCTGCTGGAAGCCCCAGGGAAAGATCCTTCCTGCCTTTGCCAGCTTCTGGGGGGTTCCAGTGTCCTCGGGCTTGTGGCCACATCACTGCAGTCTCTGCCTCCTTTGTTCCACAGCTTCTCTCTTTCCTGTGTCTGTATTTCTGCTCTTTTCTCTTACAGGCACACTGGCATTGACTTGGGCCCACCCAGAGAATGTACAATGACCTCGTCTCAGATCCTGCCCTTGCCTACGTCTGCAAAGCCTCTGTTCTAATGCAGGCAGCCCTCACGTCACCATACTTGCACAGACGTTGGGTATTTTTTCGACAGGGGGTTTCCCTTTTTATTTTTAAACTGAATTATACTGTTCCCACTTATCAAAGTTTAGTAAAGAACTCCCCAAATTATTGAATTATCTTCAATCTTCTTCATTTTTTTTTTTACTTTTATTGAAATTTATTTCATGTCGAATTTACTCCTGGGCCGTTTTTGTTTCTTCAGTTTTCTCTGGGAAATTTTCATTCCTCAAGAATTATATATTCACAGGGCAGACCATTTCATATATATAGTTTTAAAGATTTTATTTATTTATTTTTAGGGGGGTAAGGGAAGGAGAGAGGGAGAGAAATATCAATGTATGGTTGCTTCTCACGCATCCCCTGCTGGGAAATGGTCTGCAACCCATGCATGTGCCCTGACTGGGAATTGAACCACGATGCTTTGGTTTGCAGGCCCGTGTTCAATCCACTGAGCTATACCAGCCAGGGCCCATTTCATATTTTTTTAAAAAAATTATTTTTAGAGAGAAGGGAAGGGAGGTAGAGGTAGAGAAACATTAATGTGTGGTTCCCTCTCACATACCTTTCACTGGGGGCCTAGCTCACAACCCAGGCTTGTGCCCTGACTGGGAATTGAACCAGTGACCCTTTGATTTGCAGGCCAGCATTCAACCTGCTGAGTCACACCAGCCAAGGCTTGTTTTATATTTTAAATCCCAGGGCTCTCACGCACCCCTCGGCCTTAACTAGGTAATCCACAGCGCTCTTCTCCTCTCGGTGATGCTCACATGATGTGCCTTCTTGGCCTCCGGGCAGGCAGAGCAGGGCAGAGGCTTCTCCGGCATCTCAGAAGGGGTACGTGGCCACCAGACCTGGCATCTTTTAGGCCTCGGTGTTGTAATTTTTACAAATTGAAGACCAGACTTCCACCAGCAAAGCGATTACAGCTTGCTTTATTGTGGTGGTCTGGAACTGAACTGCGTATTTCCAAGGCCTACTTCTAAGTCCTTGTTCATAGGTCCCGGGTGCCACCATCACTGGCTGCAGCACAGTATGACCTCTGATGACACCCACTGTGGTGTCCAGTGGGTCTCCCCATCTTAATCTGGTATGTCCTTTCCCTTCCGGGCCCCAGGGTGACAGGACTGCTCCGGGCGGCCAGGCTTAGCAGGTCCTCATCCAGCTGAGGCCATCGTGGCCATCTTCTGAGAGCCAGGAGGGCTGCCCTGAGGCCTGGGTGGAGGTGTGCAACAGGCCCTGGTTGAGCTGGGCCCTGATATTACCACTATCAAGATGGTGACAAACCCATCATTTCGTTTCCCTGTGCCTTGTCCACTGCTCACAGGATTTGTCTGAGCTGTCAAACAGGCTCTCCTTCCAGAAATTCCCACAGAGCCAACTCCTGCTGGGACAGAGGGGGTGCCTCACTTGGTGAGAATTTAGGCACCATTTTTCTCCCTCACCAGAGGACATTTTTCATTGCTTTTAGGGTGAAAGTAAGCAGGGTGGGGAATGAGAAACATGGTTGTGAGAGAGGAACATTGACTGCCTCCCACACCCAGTTTGGTGGCCCCAACTCAGGCATGTGTCCCGACTGGGAATTGAACCTGCAGTCCTGTGCCCTGGACAATGCTCCAACTGAGTCACACTGGCCAAGGCCGAGCACCTTTAAGATGTTATTTTTTAATTTTAAAAGACTTTATATTTTTAAAGAGAGGGGAAGGGAGGGAGGGCACACTGATATATCCATCAGTTGCTTCTCACATGCCCCCAACTGGAGACCTGGCCCGCAACCCAGGCACGTGCCTTGATTGGGAACGAAAAGGCAACCTTCCAGTCCACAGGCTGGCACTCAATCCACTGAGCCACACCAGCAAAGGTTAAGATAGATGTACCTTTAAACACCTCTGTTGAGGTGTAATTCACACACCGTGCTGTTTACCCATTTAATGCGCACAATTCCATGGGGTTCAGTGTACTGCACCATTAATTTTAAAAATTAACGAGCAGCATCTCTGGAAGCAGCTTCTCTGTAGGAGCCAATCCCAGTCCCAGACCAGCAGTAGCCTCTATTTCAAGTGCAGGTGCCCACGTCGCGGGGGGGTTTGGTGCTACGAGTGGCTCTGCTGGCCTAACTGCCCATCCCAGCCAGATCCCTGTGGTGGCTGAATTATGTGCCTCTCCCAAAAAATATGTTCTGTCCTGACCCCTGGTACCAGTGAACAGGACATTACTTGAAAAGAGGATCTTTGCAAATGTCATTAAGGTGAAGTCACTCAGGAGTTGGGTGGCCCTGATGCAGTGACAAGTGTCTTTGCGAGGAGATTTGCACAGACACATGAAATACAGAAAAGCCATAAGAAAACAGAGGCAGGGACCAGCGTGAGGCAGCCACAAGTCCTGGAGCCTGGAGTCCCTGGAGGGAAGTGGACCTGTGATACCTTAACACCTTGACCTTGGACTTCAATCCTCCAGGATGTGAGAGTTAATCCCACTGAGTTTGAGCAGCCCCCACCCACGTGTGGCACTTTGTTAGCACTGCCCCAGAAAACTCGTACCCCTGAAGCCTGGGCATCCCGAGGAGCCCTGCACCCCCAGTACCATCTTCACAGGACACAAGCCCAGGCCACTCAACAAGCTGTTTCCTCGTATTCAGGGAGCCACCTTTTTTGACGCCCCCCCCCACACTCCCACCCCCGCCCCATTGCTAAGAACACAGCCGCTGAGAGACTGGTGGACAGCGGAGCATTGCCGTATGTCACATTTATTGCTACAGTGCTGTTATGTACAGGACAGGTCTCCATATTGACTCCAAAGGGGCTTATTTAAAATTTCCAAAGAATCCAGCCAGCTGTGTGGGCACTTGCATAAAATTATTTTTCTTAAAAAATTAAAAACAAAAACCAAACCACCAGTTATCTTGAGGCACTCGGAGCACAATCTCCCTTAAGTGTGGTTCCCCCCCCCCCCAAGCTACTTCTTCACCTGCTGGGTTAGTTTTGTTATATAAATTACTCTTTTTAAAAAATTGATTTGAGAGAAAGAGGAGGAGGGAGGAAGGAAGAGAAACATCGATTAGTTGTTCCACTTATTTATGCATTCATTGGTTGATTCTTGCATGTGCCCTGGTCAAGGACTGGACAACCTTGGCGTCGAGAGATAACACTCAAATCAACTGAGCTACCCAGCCAGGGCTACATACTTCAAATTATGTATGTAAGACACAGTTCAAAAACCTGCAGGCCTTTGGCAGGACTAGGGTCCTTGGCTCCTGCCTGTCTGGACCAATGGGCAAAATAAGAGAGGAACTCAGGCAGGTTCCCCAAGAGACTCAAGTCCCAACAGACCAAGGGAATCACCAGGCAAGCTGATGACTTCTTGCTGTCCCAATGAGTCTTGGAGGTAAGACCCTAGAAGACCCAGGTGATTATCGGGGCTCAAGGAGTTGGCCCTGGCCCCAAGCCTGGATGTCTTGCCTGGTGCTGGCTTTGTGGGGTGCTTCTGAGCTTCCCACAGAGCACTTTGCTAGTCATTTGCAGGGCAGCGATGAGGAGTCAGGTAGCCCTGGAACTTGGGGAGTGAATTACCGTCCCCAGCATCCCACTGAGATGTTGGTGGGATAAATGCAGCCAGGCTGGGGCTCCTTAAGGCTTCTATGGGTGGGGCAGGGGAATAAAGGTAAGGAAACCAAGACCCCAGCAGGCCTGAGCCTACACCTGGGTGACATATTATAGGGTGACCAACCACTGCAGTTTCCCTGGGAACTGCAGGGGATCCAAAAATGCAGATGATTAGTGCGTAAACCTGGATAGTCCTGGGCAGCCTAAGATGAGCTGGTTCCCCTGGTGACATGTGAGACAAGTGAAACCAAAGGGGACTTGGGGAGGCCTGAGGGTGACCCACCCTCCTGCTTTTGCAGCTAGGCAATAATTTGGGCAAACGCACAACCTGGGGGCTTTTCTGTGCACAGAAATCTGTCCCTTCTCCCTGCTCTGTCCACACCAGGACAGCCACTTGGTGGGGCTGGCAGCTTTCTGTGCTGGCCTTGAGCTACAGCCCTGTTGCCAAAATGCAAAGATAGGCTTGGGTTGGCAAGTCAAAGGAATGAAAGATGGAGAGTCTGGGGACACCCCACAGCATTGTGCTCCCGCAGTGCCATCCTCATGCCCTGGAAACTGGGTCACAATAAAAGCCCCCATTTTGGAGAGTTCTGTGGGCTCCAGGGAGAGCAGCTTTTGGGGTCCCAGGGAGAGATGTGGGGACCTTCAGGTTGCTGGGAAGTGCCCAGGGGACCAGAGTGACTTCTGGAGGACCCCGGCATGGTCACCTGGGAGGGCTGTACCTTGGTTGAGCCTCTGCCCCACCTGAGAGACTAGAATGTCTGTTGGAGGGAGAGAAGATGGGGTGGGAAAGCCCATCCGCCAATTCACCCTGAAGCAAGGAAACAAACCCCAACATCTCCAAAACCAAATGAGACCCACCCAACCCTGTTCTCCCCATGTCCCACAGCTGGGCTCCTGGTGCAGGGGTGGGGGGCCTCGGGTTTACAGTGGGGTCTTTTTAATACAACGTTTAATCTGTTTGATCGTGAAATGCAATGCTCAGTTCTAGAAACAGCAGCAGAAATAGCAAGAGACATGAAACTTTTATACAAAAACGTTTGTTGCTTACAAAACATATGCAAAAAAAGCTTTAAAAAAAAGGCATCCTCCTTGCTAATTTTCTTCTACATTAAAAAAAAAAATCTCGTAACTAGCATTTTTATTTTCCTTAAAAAAAATATCAGGCATAGGCACAATTTGCTGGTGGCTTTTGAAGAACAAGCCAGTTTTTCACAGCGTCTCTCTCCAGCGAGTGATATGTTTTAACTTTTCCATGTTTTATACTTAAGGCATTTTTTTCTTTTCTGACAAAGTGTATTGTGTACTTTGTTTGCTTTCCAGTTTTTACCAAAAAGGAAAAATAAAGAGAGAAAGAAAGAAAGCTTCTTTTGGCCAGGGCTCGAGTAGCAAGGCCAAGATGCAGTTTCAGGATCCATCAGGCAAGTCCCAGGGCACAGCAGTGGCCGAGGCCTGGGGGGTGGATACAGCAGGGTCCCTGGGAGGCTCCTAGACCCCGTTGTCACCTCCAGGGCTCCCATCACTCGAATGCTCCTTAGGTTGCTGTTGGCTCAACACCAACCACGGGGGTGTGTGAGGAGGCGTGGACTGGCCGGCCCACACTGCGGATGGACCTGATACCTTGTGTGACCATTCCAGGTTAGACTGAGGTCGGTCAGCTTATCTCATGGTGGCGTACCTCTCACATATGACCAGCAGGGTTGTGGGCCTCGCTCAGGCCTGGGTGCGTGGCTGAAAGCACCATCTGGGGGTCTCCGACCACACCTGACACCTTCTCCTCTTCTCGTCGCTTCAAGCAGGCTGCTTTGGGGTTCAGGTTACGTTCTGGTGGTAGAGGGAGAGCACTGTGGGAGACGGTCCCCAGAGAGGGAGAACGTGAGGTGGCAGGGTGTGGGGAGTGTGGCAGAGCGCCAGAGGAAGGCAAGGGTCCCAACATGTGTTGCTGCCTGCATTTCTTAACTTGTCCTCCCATTCCCTGAGGAGGCTGTGCAGGGTTGGGGATTGGAAAGAACAGGTTGGGTGACCTGGGGGATGTCTGAGTCTGAGACACAGACAGAGCCCAGGAGCTAGTGCACATCCATTTCCAGTGAAGCACCATCGGCATGCAGTCAGGAAGGGGATAGAGTGGGGACTCCTGGCCTGGGTGCCTACCTCGCACCTGCTGCTCCAGGCCCAGGATGACCTGCACGGCCTGCTGCAGGATGAGCAGTTTGGTCTGCGCCTTGTCCGACTTGAGGTGCATCTGGCACATGCGCCCCAGCTCCCGGAAGGCCTCGTTAATGTCCCGCACACGCACCCGCTCCCGCGCGTTATTGGCCATACGCCTCTCCCGGTCCCTCAGGTCTTTCTCCTCCAGGGACAGCACCTCCTCCGTACTGCTGGGTCACAGCACCAGGGCCTCTGTTAGTTATGTGCAGGGGGTGGGGAGCCCCCCGAGCAATGGGCAGGTGGTTGGGCGGGGCCAGGGTTGTGGGGAGGACCTCTGATGGCTGTGTGTGAGCGTGGATGCTGTAGCACAGGGGCCGGTCCGTGGCTTGCGTGTGTGGGTGGGCACCATGGCATGAGTGCATGTGCCTAGTGTGCGCATGCTCAGGGCCATGACAATGTGCTCCCGGACCAGAAACCACAGACAGCGTGCCTGTGGTTCATTCTAGGCAAGGCTCTGTCATGTCCCTGGGTCAAGGCCCAACTGTCACTAGGACGTTTCATAGAAATGGAGATGGGCCTTGATTTCCATCTATCCCTTGTCCATCCCACATGCCCCAGGACTGGCCAGGAAGGGAGGGGAGGCCTGGTGCTCCTCACGGGGTGACGACCTTCCCCATTCAGAGCAGTCACCTGCTGGGCGAGGGAGAGCTGGGCTTGCTTGGGTTGGTCAGCCAGGGTGGAGAGGGGCTGAGGAGACTGGCTCAGCAGCCAAAGGCCTGGGGAGATCCCTGGGGCCGAGGAATGGTCCAGAACACTCAGTCTATCCCACAGACAACCAGCTCATACTCTCCAAGACACCCACACTGGACTCTGGCTGCCCAACAGCTGGGCCTGGAGCGTACACTGTGAGTCCTGCCCAGAGGCTCCACCCTGGGGCTGGGAGTTAGCTCCCTGGGCCTGGGGCTTCTGCTTTTAGGACCACGGTGGCAGCTCCAATTTATGGAGCACTGTGTGTGGTGGGTGCTGCGTTGAGCCCATTTTCCCACACAAGAATCTGGAACTGGGGCCCAGACACCTGCCTGCCTGGCCCATACCCAGCCCAGTCCCAGTAGCTGCATGGCCGTGTGGCTTTGGATAAGTGACCTCACTCTGTTTCTTTCTTGGTAGGATAGAGGCTAACTGAAATCAGGACACCTGCCACTCAGTTGTGGAGATAAAATAAAAATGAGTGAAGACCTGGCATACAGCATGTGCCTGAGACACAGGAACCTGGACCCCTGGTGTCCTGTCCTGCTCCTGTGCTGGGGGGGCTGTTGCCCTCACCCTGCCTGCTGGCCCCGGAGCCCAGGACAAGCGCGCAGACCAAACTGACAGCCAGGCCCGGAGGCTGGTGCTCCTCAGTCCCCTTTCTTCCCTCGAGTCTCCACTAGGGGCTTTGCGGAGGAAAGGGCCTGAGGTTGCCACCAGCCATCCAGTGCTCGGGCAGCAAGTGCGAGGTAAGGAGGGGCTGCCGGTGGAAGCAGAGACGGACAGGCTGGGTGGGGGAAGAGCGCAAGAGTCAGAGAGCAGAGAGGCGGACGCGGGGACACGGCATGATGCCCACACCAAGTGCAGATGCGGAAACCTGAGAGCTGAGGGGGACAGTGCAGGGTGGGCCAGAGCCCCAGCTCCAGTACAAGCGACAGTGCTGCAGGAGAAAAAGGGTTAATGGGTGTGCAGGATGGGGAGGAGTTAAGGAAGCAGCTGATCTGGGGGAGAAGGGAGTCACCTGGGGGAGGCTTTCAGATTCTCACCCAACCCTGGGGAAGGGAGGTGAACCCCGTTGCAGATGGGGGTTAATGGAGTCCCCATAAGGTGTCTGCTCAGAGTGACAGTGACAGCCTCTGGGCCCCAAGAGACACAGGCACCTGCTGGCCAGGCTCTGGGCTTCCTGAGATGGAAGGGGTGGGCAGGGGTCCCTAGGGCCCAGGATAGCGTTTGGAGCCCAAGTGCCCGGGTCTGTAGGGCTAAGGGTCTAGAGTCTCATCCTCCCATTCCAGAGGGGACAATGGGGTCAGGCAGAGGGCAGTTGGTACAAGATGGGAGGACCATCACTGTGGGAGGAAGGGGAGCCACTTTGGGGGAGACAATGACTGGGGAGAGGATGGTCACTGTAAGGCACAGTCACTGCAGGGAGATGGTCATTGTGAGAGGAGACCAGTCACTGCAGGGGAGGCGGGCTCCAGGAAGGGGGAGGAGAGAGCGGGGGGCAGAGGCAATGGGAGAGGAGCGGCGCCCCCACTGACCTCGCACCTGCTGCTCCAGGTTCAGGATGACCGACACGGCCTGGTGCAGGATGAGCAGTTTGGTCTGGGGCTTCTCACTGTTGAGGTGCAGCTGGCACATGCGCCCCAGCTCCTTAAAGGCCTCATTGATGTCTCGGACCCGCAGTCGCTCCCGAGCGTTATTGGCCACCCGGCGCTCCTTCTCCCGCTCAGCCTTCTGCTCTGGGGGGAGAAGGTCGTCCTCGTCCTCGTCCGGGCTATGGGGGTGGGGGGGGCCGGGGGGCCAGAGGGAGACAGTGAGGCGGGGAACAGGCGCAGGGCCCGCCGGATGCCTCGCGGTGTGAGCGCCACTGGTGTGAGCACTGTGTGCGTGTGCTTGTGTCCTGACGGGTGGGGCAGGGGCTGAGAAGGGGCTGGCACCTGGTCCGGATCCGGGGGGCCTTTAGCTCCTTCTTCTCCTCCTCGGAGTTGTCGGCTACCGACACATTCTCCTCATCCTCTTTCTCCTCCCGCTTGATCTCGCCGGTGCCTGAGGTGGTGGCCCTGTGACCGAGTCCTGAAACAGGCTGGGGGTTAGGGTATAGCCACCTCCAAGGCCACTGGACAAATCCCCTTTGATCTTCTTGTGAGGTGTACAAGCTCTCCTGGAATAGCCAGGCCTTTATTTGCAGAGAGAGAGAGAGAGACAGAGACAGAGAGACTCTGTGTGTGTGTGTGTGGTGGGGGGGGGGACCTACCTTACACACAGGCACATAATTATAGACAAAGATCTGCAATGGGAAAGGTCTGCAGGTGCAACCTTTAGAAGGAAGTGCAGGGAAATTTCAATGCTGCACAGGGCCAGGGAACTATTTTATAAAATACTAAAGAACTGTTCTCCAAGGAAATTGATAAACGTGACTGTATTGTAACTGAAAATTCCTGATCACTAGGATACCAAAAAAGGTAAGATATGCCACAAGATATAAGGTACTCGTCACGTATAAACCAACAAAGGCTGGGTCTCCACAATATGTAAAGGACTCCTACAAATCAATAAGAAAAGGACGGATGGCTCAATAGGAAAACAGGCAAAGCATGGAGCAGGCATTCCGAGGCATGGAAACAGGCACGGCTCTATGGAAATATGCATCGTTAGGCCAACGTGAAATCCCAGATGAGGACTACTGAGCTACACGTCACACCCAGAAAGTCAGCTGAAGAGAGTGACCTGACAATTCTAAGTACTGCTTGTGACATAGCATGGTGGCGTGACCACTCTGGGCAACAGCTGGGTGTTGTCTGGAATAGGTGGACAGACACATGTGTACCCAGAAATTCCACAATTTGGAGCCACACCTGAAAACTTCTTGTACACATGCTCCAGGCAACATGTTCCAGAAAACACCTGAGGGAAGCAAAGTGGAAAGCGACTTAGTGTCCTAGACAGGCCCTGGGCCTGTTCTCAGCCACCTGTAAGGTGGCAGACCTGACAACCAACATGAGCAAGCAAACAGATGCAGAAGAACACTGGCAGGACATTGATGTTTGAAAAGTCCAGAAACTACATAAACAAAATACGTGGTTTCCAGGGAAACAGTTACACTGAATTCAACTACACTGAAGGCAAAAATGGCAAAGTGCCAACAACGGAGACAGCCCAGGGTTCCTCAGTGAATAAACTGAAAGGAGGGAGGGGAGGGGACCGGAGGCAGAGACCCTGCAGATACAAGCCTAGGGTCCCTCCCTGGCACCGCAGAATGAGGAGTGGCATCCCCAGCCCCACGCACTCAATGCCAGGAGCAACCCTGGTCACGAGAACCACAGATGTTCCCAGATACTGCCCGACGCCCTCTGGGTGAGACTCTGGGTGTGGAGTGACAGAATTAAGAAACACGAAAGCAGTGACTTCCTTCTAAAAGCCAGCTGGCTTTTGGGGGTGGGAGTGGGGTAGGATGGGAAGGGTCCCCAGGCAAGGATGAGAGTCTGGTTTAATTTGGATTGCATGGTGGATTCCCAGGGTGCTTGGTAAATTAAGCAGCCTTGTCATGTACCAACATCACATTATTGTCACCTGATGCGGTATATTTTTCAAGGTTGATGTAAAGGTGGGTAGGTGGAGACCAGGCTCAAGCACTGCCTGGAGGGGAGTCCCTGGTCCCTCTCTGGGCCTGAGTCTCCCTTGCTGTACGTAGCAGGGTTGGCATAACTGATCTGGGGACTGGCTGTGATGAGACCTGATCCCTGGTGTGTGCTTGTGAGCCCTGCCACAAGACCACCCACCAAGCGGACAGCTGTCCTGCTCACCAATGGCCTCCCCTTGCTGGCCTCAACACCTTCAAACATGTCACCTCAGTCTTTAAAGAAACCACTCCTGCTTCCTGGACAGTAACGTCCCAGCATTCCACTGGTGTTGCCGCTGCCCAGGTCATCCTGACCCCTAGTCAGTGTAGAGCCTGGGTCCTCACTTTAGCATCTGACACAGTCCATCCTCCTTCACCTCCCACAGCTGCCTGTCCCAATCTGGCCTGACACTCAGGCCTGGACACTGTTCTGTCCGTGCACTGCCTATGGCCCCACCTAGCCTCTTTTGCCTCTGAATGCCACCAAGTACGATGACACTCAGGCCCCATCCTGAACTCCATGCCCAAATCTCATCATCACTTCGACAGCAGGTGCTACGGGCTCTGCCTTCAGAATATCCCAAACCCACCCACTATGCCTTGGCCAGGCCCCAGCATCTGCCCCCACAATCCCTCCAGGACCAGAGAGTACTGTCTGCCCTGGTCCCTGGTTCCCACTGTCATCCCTATACAGCAGCAGCCATCAAAGGGCACCAGTAAGCAGCCAGGTCAGGTCCTACCTTTGCCTTTCCCTTTCCCTAGCTTGTCCTCCCCAAAGCTACTAGATGGTATCTGGTCCTGGTACTGTCCCTCCTCTGCCCATAATTCTCTTTCCGCAGGGTAAAAGCCCAACAATTCTGTGTGGCCTACAAACCTTACATGACTTTCCCCTACCTGCCCTCACCTTCTCCCCTCACTCATTCTGCTCCAGGCCTGGTCCTGTCCAAGGACCTTTGCATGGGGTCTCCCCTCCTAGTTTTGCTCCTCCCTGGCTCTGCTCCCATGTTACAACCCTTTAATCCCAACTATCTTTAAAACTACCATACCTCCCTCTGCATACCCTCCCCTCCCTACTTTCTCACACCTGTCTCCTCCCCATTCCCCACAGTGGGAGGGTGGCGCTTTCTCTGTTGGATTCCATGTTTTATTCCCTGGAGCCTGGAGAGCCGCTAGGCACATACTTGGCACTACTACACACTTCTGGGCGACTTCAGTTCACTAAACTGTCGGATGACTGAATAAAACACAGGAGCCCTGATGGCTGTAGCATCACCACACCAGAGCCAAGACTGGAGGCTGCTGGCTCTACCTTGCTTCCAGAAAGAGATGACCAGTGACTTTGCCAGCCTCTCTAAGACTCTAGGTGCCTGTGATAGTAACCACACCTGCTTGGCTGCCATCCATGCTCAAAGGGCTTCCCCAGTTCCCACTGTGCCTCAGTTTCCTCAACTGGAACAGAGAGGGATCTGTCCCAAGCCCCATCCTATTAGTGAGTGAACAGTCCACCCTGGCTGTTCCACTGTGTCACAAGCCCTGTCGTTCCTGTTTTCCAGAGGAAGAAGTGGTGCCCAGTGACCGAGCCCCAGAGGAGGAGCCAAAGCACAGGTGGCTTGGAGGTGCTGGCCAGTCTGCCCAGGCACGTTACTGGCACTTACCACTGTAGGAGTCAGGAGGCCGAGAGAGGTCAGGGAGGGTGTTGGGCTGGCTGGGGAGGACCACATGGTTGTGCATGAGGCTGCCATTGCCGGGGAGGCTGTCCTCCGAGTGGCTGCCTCCAACCTAGGGACCAGGAGTGGAAGAGTCAAAGCTGGCAGGGCTCCCACTGCCCACCCTCCTGGCCCCTCTCTTGCTCAGAACTCACCAAGCTGGTGTGCCGCCCGCCCAGTGGCATGACAGGGCCGGCAAAACCCGAAGCCAGTGTTCCGTGGTTAGGCAGTATCCCATGCATGTCGCCTGAGGTACCCACGGCGTGGCTGCGGAGCACGTGGATGGCCTCGTCCAGGTGGTCTTCCATCTTGTTCTGCTGTAGGGGTGGGGGGAGGGGTGAGAGTGGACTGGCTGCTAGGACCCCCGCCTAGTCCTATGTGACCTGGCCTGAAAAATGTGCCTGCACTGGCTATGGAGACAAGGCTGGACCTTATTCCCAACAAATTAATAATGAAGTTTACTCTTGTCAAAGGGGTATCTGTGCCCTAAAGAAAATCCTGCTGGTCACATGAGATCTAATGACTCTCTTATGGGACTCATTTTCAAAGTCACATGAAATGTAGCCACAGCAGAAATGCTGAGCCACCCCCATTGGCTGCCTTTTGTGCCCTGAGAACCAGCGTCTCGTCTCCATGCCTTTCCACACGTACGCCATGTCTGTCTACAAGCACCTCCACCCTTTTCCCTCACCAGCCACATAGGAAGCTCACCAGATTGTGGAGACCCCCGTCATAACTAGGGGATAAGGCACCGGGGGCTCCTGCTCGGGGCCACTGTGATGTCCCTGGAAAGGGTAGGAGACACATGAATGGAGAACTTAAAGGTGTTGGTGCAGCCTGATCCAGAGAGGGAGGAGGGAGGATGGAATCTGGAAGGCAGGGTTGAGGAAGCTGAGTGGTCTGATACCCAAGCTGGCCACACGGGGGCGCCCGCATCCACAGAGCTGTTGTAGGGCTGTGAGTCCAACTAAGTCCAGGCAGATTCACTTCTCCCAAGCTTGTTTCCTCCATGCACAATCAACCACCCCCTTTTCCCACAGGGAAGATTGCTGGCTCAGAGGCACACAGTAGGTGCCCTTAAAGCTAGTTCCTTCTAGTCCTGCTCCACTACGCAGGTCTTCTAAAACTCTGCTTTCACTACTCCTTGCAGGGAACAGAGAAGGGAGGAATAGGAGGACCTGGCCCCTTTGGCACAGCAAGGACAGCGTATACACTGTGCCTAACTATCTGCTGCAAGGACGAACACCAGTATGTGCACGTTCTGGAGTCCGGGTGAGAGCCTCAGGTCCACTGCTCTGATTCAGGCATCTCCACCCTGGCTCGGTTGAATCTCTCGTGTCCCTCACACTCACCAGCACAGACCTGCTGGGTCCCGCCTCCTAGTCTTCACTGTGCTGTGTGGCCTAAGAGTCCTGGCTTTAAGACCTCCTCCCAGAAGCCTTGCTGGATGCCCACAGGAACATAAACTTCAAGGCCCCTGGTCTGTGCAATTCCCCAACCCATGATGTAGCCTGATTCCTTCCCACCCACCTGCCCCAGACTGGAGGCAGCAGACACAGCCCCCCTACCCAGCACCCAGTACAGACCTGTCAGACCCTGTGGGGAGCCCACAGGGGTGGAAGGGCTAGATGAGAAGTTATTGCTTGAGTGATCTGGAGAGTAGATCTGAAATGGGGGTGAGGAGAGACAGGGCCACCAGGCAAGCCGGTCAGGGGCTGGTCTCTCGAAGTCGCTGGCCCAGCCACCCTGCTACACCCACCCATCCCACCTCACCCCCCCCTTGAGCCTTACCGAGGCCAGTGCCTTCCCAAGGGCGTCCCCAGAACTGCCAGCTGTAGTCCCTCGAGAGCCTGTGGGTGTACAGAGGTGAGACCCAACCTCAAGTATTAGGCACCCCCACTACTCTACTTGAGCTTGGCTTGGATGCCACAGCTCACGGGGAGCTTCCTTCTATACTTAGCTCCTGGGCATGGATACACAAGCTCAGGTCTGGGCAAACCCCATTTTTGGTCTGATTTCTGCCTGGTATCTTGCCATCTGCCCCTATGGAGGCTCTGGAGGCAGACTGTGGTCCCTGAAGCAAGAGATCCCCTCTCTGAGTCAGTTTTCCCAGAGGTGAAGTGGGGAAATTCACTCCGCAAAAAGTCATCTTTCTTTCTTTCTTTTTTGTGACACTTAAAATTAATGTATCACTAAAAAAACACAGCAGCAACAATAGCACAAAAGGCAACATGGGGTTAAATGGAAAGTGTTTCGAGGTGATAAGCCATTTTCAAACATCAGAAACTCGGAGGAGGAGCCTAGCTGATCCCAGGAGAGGGAGGATGTTGTTAATAACAAGGGACCATGAGAGTGGGGTGAGGGGGCCATACCCATGAGGCTGTCGGCCCCACTAACAGGGGGCGTGTGGCTGGCAATACTGCCATAGGCAGCTGTGGGGGCCGAGAAAGTGGACACAGCCGGGAGCCCACCATTCACCTCCACGCTGTGCAGTTGGTAGCCCTGTGGTGGGATGGGGTCAGATGTCAGATGGGGTCAAAGGGGATCAGACAGGGTGCTACCCAAATGCACGCCCCCACTCCATCCCGAGGGGCCTACCATGCGCTCGTGCTGGTGCAGGCCACCAAACCCACTGCCACTACCACTGCCCACAGAGCTGCCGCCACCCGGCGGGAGGGGCAGTGGGGACGAGCCCCCACCCAGCATAGGCCCAAAGCCCGCCTGGCCTGCAGGGCTCCAGAGCTCGGCCGAGGAGTGCAGGCTGCCATCTGTAGAGAGGAGGGGACAGTGAGGTAGATGGGCAGAGGGACCTGGGCCCTGTCCTAGCTGTCTCGGGTGAGTTCCCACGTACCTGCCATGTAGAAGGGGGCTGGGTAGGTGCTGCTGGGGGTCTTGGCAGATGGGTAGGGGGTAGCATCCCTGCCGTAGTCATCACCTGAGCTGGGTGGGTACACCTGTGGGCAGGTAGGTGCGCATGGACAAGAAGGGCAGGACTAACCTATCCCCACCCTCAGCTCACCCCTTCCCCAGTCCTACCCTCCACTTGGACAGGAGTCTGGCCCACCAGCCCATTTTTCCAGAGCTGGACTTCTTGCAGAGAATTCCTTTTCCCTGTTTAATCCATTAAACTCCTTTTGATCCATTAAAGCCCAGCCCTTCCTCCTTCCTTGTTCCCCCAATGCTGGAACTTTCCTTGGCCTCAGCCTTGATCATACAAGACCTAGGGGCCTTAGAGACAGGGCCCTGGACTAACATACCACCCAGGGTGTCCCAGAGCAGGGAGATAGCAAAAGTCTTCTAGGATCAGTGCCAACTCTGAGCAGTGAGCACTGCCTGAAACTAAGGCGGGGCTCAGGACAAAGTGCTGGGATCAACTGATAACGTCTGCCCAAGCCCTGGAGTACAGGAAGGCACGCAGAGTGCTGGCATGGTGAGGAGGGCCCAAGGGTCTCCCACGTCTAGGAATTAAGGTGGGGATTTAGGTGCAAAAAATGCGGGAGTCAATGACATCAGGAAAACCGCCTGAGCCCGACTGTACCTCCTGGCTGTGCAATGTCAACCTCTGACACTAACCTTGTGCCCGTGGCCTGAGTTTACCTGTAGGGGCTCTGTCTGACCTCTAGGCCCAAGGGGTCCTGGAAGCCAGCGCAGAGCCAACCCAGGGAAACAGGCAACATGCCTTTTCTTCCCATGGTTAAAGCGTGAATGGCCCAGCACCATCTGCTGGGCTTAGTACCTGCCAAGCTCCAGGAAGAGGGCAGGGACACAGGCAGGCTTGAACCTGGGTGGACAGAGTGGGGGGGCGGGACCTCCAAACTGGCCCATAGGGTGTCCACACCTGCTCCACCTGCAGGACCCCATCCACACCCTTTCTATGCACCACAGGACATGACCTCCTAAAGCAGGAGGACTGAGACTAGACCCTAGGAAGAACTTTCCAAACTCCCTGAGAGGTGGTCTCTGGTCAGAATTCAGGCCTTGGGGCATAAGTCCAGATGACTGGCCAGTGTAGCTGCGGGGGTCTTGGCCCAGGACCTATGTGCCCACACTCAGCAGGCCATACGTTCCCAGCTACAGCTGCACACACAGGCCAGGCTCCCCCCCAACGCTGCGTGGCTTCTGATCCACCCCACCACTCACCGAGGACGGAAGACCTGGTGGCACTTTCCGGACTTTCTTGGGCTGCGCGTCTGTTCAGAGTGAAAGGAATGAGCCACCCCTGTCCAGCCTGGCTCCTGCCCCATCCAGCCAGGGTTGCACAGGAATCCTTTAAGGCCCAGGGGTATGTCTATCCCCAGGGGTGTCAGAAGACAGCCACCCCTACACATCACAGAAGAGACCCTTGAGCTTCCCTTTTAATGGAATTACTTAAACAAGGGCTTGGGCCCGCACGCAGAGGTCTGACAACATGCAAGAACCACATGGGGAGCGAGGGGGCGGTTCTGTGGCAGGGAGCCCGGGAAGCAGGGAGGAAATGGGGACTTCAGCCATAGCCCTGCTCCAAAGCCCTCCACTCCGCCCCTACCCCAACCCCCACAGCTGATTCTCTTTATTCACAGATCCCAGATTTGCAAATCTGCCAAAGTCAGTTCCTCCAAATCACACACACAGTGTGTTAGGGAAACCTGGGCAGCTACCATGCATGTGCCCACCGAGGGGGCCCAGGTGGTGTTCTGCCTTCCAATTCCAGCTCAGACTACAAATCAGGGTCCCTTTCTGTCTATTGAGAACCTTGATTTTAATGCTTTTTGTGGTGATTTTGCTGCTTAAAACACTCCCCATGGGTGTGTGGTGCTATGGTGCTGGCTACCATCCCCTGGGCGCAAAAACTACTGGGATGTGAAAAGTATGTATTAGACCAGCCACATTCAAGCCCAAGTTACAGTACCATGGGCAAGTTTATGTGAAATAAGGTGTCTTCAGAGAGAAAGACACTTGACACAAAGTTAGGTATTGATCTGTTTTGAATAGAGGCTGGCAGGAACCTACCCTTGCACTCCCCCAGAAGATCAGTGTTCATGGTGACTTCATAGGACAGAACCTCTACAAATAACAAGAATCCACTGTTTCCTTCTAGGCTCACTACTCATCCCTTTATCCATCTGATCTCCCAGTCTGTCCAGGGCCTGAGAGGCACAGTGGACTCACTCACCCAGGCCGCTGTCTGCAGCTCTCCGCCGAGCATGGCTGGGGTAGGAAGAGTAATACTGAGATCCGCTCTTGACGCCTGAGGGGGACAGTGGCCCAGGGCTGCTGAGGGCCAGCTCGCTGGGCAGGAAGCCAGCCTAGGGAGGGGAGGGGAGGGGAGGGGAGAGGAGGGGAAGTCATCATCAGGGGCTGGGCTGCTATCCAGCACCCAGCCTGGCCATCCGAGAGGTGACAGTGACCCCTGCCTGAGACACTTCTCACCTGACAAGGGTCATGCAGCGACTGTATGCTGCAGTATTACTCTTAAGAAAAACAGTTGTCATCAAGTCTGACAAAACCCCCCGTTCTGGGATGCAGAACATACAAATGTGTGTGTGTCTGTCTAGGAGTCAGCCAAATCTGCTTGTTTTAGTTTGTACATTTTTTCTTACAGTAGATGGTTTACTTCTTCATAATAAATTTGAAATGGGCTTTATTCCCTTGGGAGCATGAGTGACTGGGGTTCAAGGCTCCACGCAAGTGGATGCTCTATGCCTGATCTTTCCCATCTGTAAAACAGGCGTGCTGGCTCAGGTGGAGTCCTGGGGACCAATGGGGGCCTTATGAGCTCTGTCCTTGGCACAGGGCCTGGTGCCCAGTTGGTGATCTGCTGCCACTCTGGCTCCTTTGATGTGCTCACAGGTGATCACCTGTGTCACCTTGCCACCTGGGACAAGACCAGCTGCAGCCTGAGATTCAGTAGGCACAGCACAGAACAGGAATGAAACCCTTGGCTATGGCAGGGAGGATCCCCAAACGGTGACCAGGACAAGAGGCCACATGTGCCAACTGTGGCCAGTCAGTGTTGTCAGCCTTACAGCTGGGGCGAGTGTAAAGGTTTGCCTGGGGGCCTGTGGGGCGAACTCTCTGAGAAGAGCGAGGGGCAGGGGACCAGGGCTGCTGGGACAGCCTCAATTTCTCTATATGCTGGTGTCTCTCTGAGCACCTCCAGCTGTATACAGTGGTCCCCGGGTTGGGGGGCCATGAGGCTGTGGCTTTCTCTGCCTTCCCCTGTCCCATCCACTCCTGGCCAGCAAAACCTGCCCCTGGACCCCATGCTATTTTAGCTGCTGCTGGAAGAATGACCAAGACTTGGCTCAGCCAGGGAACCCTTCCACATATCAAGGAAGGAAACTGTGACCAATCTGTTTAAAATTTTAAACAGTTGCCCTGGCCAGGTAGCTTAGCTAGAGCACTGTCTCAATATACCAGGGTTTGATCACAGGCCAGGGCACATACAAGAGTCAACCCATGAATGAATGCGTAAGTAAGTGGAACAACAAATCAATGTTTCTTTCTCTCCCCTTAAAATCAATACACACATTTTTTAAAAATTGCAAATTTAAAAGGTAGGTGAGAAAGGGACGGGTGGAACAGTGACTGCAGCCTCCATGGCATCCCCTCCTACCCCTGACCGGTCCCTGCCCACTTGCAATGACCCTCCACTGTGAGAACTGGGGTCCCACATATCCCGTTCTCCGGGTTCTGCAGATAGCTGGGTGCAAATGGGCCCCAGAGGCCCCCACCCTAATACGAAGCCTCACCTGAGTCAAGCCCCCAACACCTGCATCTCTCCCAAAGGCAGTATACGTGCTCCGTTCACCGCCCTTGCCTGGGGGGAAGAAAAGAGGGTCACTCAGAGCCGACCCCAGGGAGGTAGCGTCCCAGGCACCTGGCACGTGCCTGCATACAGCAGAGGCCCCACAAGTATACAACACTGAGAAAACCAGGTAAGATGCTGGTTTCCTCACTGGACTGGCAGACAAGCAGGGGTCCAGCCAGACATCATGACCCACAGGGGCACATGCAAGTCCACCATGGCCCCCCACACATCCCATTCTGAGGTATGATAGTGCCAAATTCAGTGACTCCTGCCCTCCCAATTTCATCTCCTCCATTCAAGGCCGTAAGATGTTGACTCCCCAGGGGTCAGGTTGGAGGCAGAGGTACCTTGAGTCTGCGAGATTCAGAACCCGGGCCCCTGCCAGGGGTTAGTTCACAAACCATCATGTGACTTGGTGAGATGGGGCCCCTCCTGTGTGAGCAGGTGACATCTTGGGCTGTGGAGACACAGCCTGCCTGACAGCCACCAGTGTGGACAGACTCTTGCTACTATATAGATGCCTGGATCCAGCCTTGCCTGAAGCAAGTACCTGGATCAATCAGTAGCTGAGTCATTTAAGTCTTTTCTTAAGAAGAAGAGACTTAATTGGCTCACACTGGATGCCAATCTCAACATGAGGGAGAAATCAGGACACTCGGCTGACTAATTTGTAGTATTCTCTAGCTAGGGGGAACATCTCCTGTTTTCTTTATTTTAAAAGTGCAATTTCAACTTGGCTCCTAAAGCAAAGGCTGCTGGGGGCAGGGAAAGGGGCCATACACACACCCAGCACCCCTCAGGGCAGGCGACACTGGATCCTCTCAGGGATGAGCAAACTGAGACCTGGAAGTTAGAGGCTTGCCCTCAGTCCAGTGAGTAAATGGGGGTAACACCAGCACTTCCTTCCTCTCAGGGTGGTGGTGAGAGCAAAGCTGGCAGGCCCGGCCAGGGTCTCTGGGCTGTGCCAGGGCTCTGGGCTGCCTAGGGAAGCAGCTTCACCTCCCAGACTCAGCTCTCCCTGCTAGACAGGGCTGCCATGGTTTAGGCCCTGCATATGGCAGGTGTCAAATATGGGTTTCCAAAGAAGGGTGAGAGAGGCAAAGATAAGCTAGGGCTCTAGAAGAGGACCATGCTAAGGCCATGAGCCCCATGGGCATACATCAGGCACCTAACCCATGCACTGGATCTGCATACCAGGGTATGAGGTGGGAGGAGGGCAAAGAGCAGAGAATAAAATGACCACAGTCTCATCAGGAGCAGACTAGGCTGGGGCCACATGGGAACAGACTGGCCTCACCTCTTGGGGAGTGGATGTCCCAGTCTACACACCCCTTCTCCCAGGGCCCTTACTGCTTGTCACCCTACCATGGTTGCCACCAAGCCTGTGAACCATACCAACCCCATCCAGGGCTGAGAAACAGGCCCAGGGATACCAAGGTTGCACCCACCTCCCCACTGGGCTTGATTTGGGTTCTATGCAGCGCTTGCTGAGCTCCTTGGCCACAGGGCATGTGGTAGACCTGGGACACAGCTATCTCTGGACCCTGTTGACCAGGCTGAGTGTGGGAACTGCCTGTGCCAGGAAGAGGCAGGAGGAACAGCAGAGGGGAACAGCTGCAGGTGCAGAGGCCAGCAGAGGCCACCATAAGCCACATGGGCCAAGCCTTACTTCCTGGTCTGGGAAATGGGCACAGACTCTTGCCACATGAAGTGGGTGCATGGATGCTGACCCCTGCCACGATTCCTCTCCAGTCACACATGTCTGTCCAGCCCTAATGTGCACCCAGTCCTGGGCCTGGCAAGTGACAAATGACCTGTGGGGTCTGGAAGGTTCTGTCCTCTCAGGGTTCAGCACAAAGGCCTTTGGGCTCAGTTTCCTCACTGACTGGCCAGTCATGCCAAGGGTCCCATCCACACACCCACTCCCCCAGAAGCAACCTTGGCCTACAAACCACTAACGGCAGTGCTGAGATAAGCAGATCCCACCCAGCTTTCACTGAAGGACACCATCTCAGGACTCAGGCAGTGAACTAAAATGAAAACCCCACATATAGCCCAAGCTTTGAGGTGGGAACTGATGCAGGACAACAGCATATGACCCTTTGCCCCAGAGATGCCAACTTTGCAGAACTGGAAAGGGGGTGTCAGGGCTCAGCAGGGCTCCTGTCATGGTACCCTGATGAGAGGATGGCACACAAGACAACAATCAAATCCCTGACAGTCCCAGTGGACAGAGCCTTGGTCAGTCCCTGACCAGCCATAGACCCCTGGACAGGTCCCTTCCTGCTTGGCCTCCTGCTTGGCATCTCACTCATCTACAAGATGGGCAAGGGGCTGGTGGGGAAAGGGGGCTGCCTGTGGGACCTGACACTCTGGGTAAGACCTCACTATCTGCTGCAAGGAAGGTTGTGAGCATCCCTGTATCACAGGTGGGGAAACCAACGCTAGAAAGGGGACAACCTCAACCTGGCCCAGTGGGTGAAACTTGAGCCCAGGCCTGATGAGTTCTGATTCTCATGGTTGGGAGAGCAGGCTACAACTGCCTGAGTCACTAGGATGCCCAAGTCTACTTGGCCAGCCCCTACAGACTTGAGGGCCATACCCACCTGCAACCTCTGTTCCAAGTGAATGTCCAAAAGTGTTGCTGCTGAGTGTGCTGACCACACCCCAGAGTCCCCATGAGGGGGTGGGGGAAGGGGCTGTGCTCTGAGGACACTCACCTCCAAGCCCTGGTCCCAGGAATGTGGACGAAGAGAGGCTGCCATGGGACTCACTGAAGTGGGCGCCTTCGCTGTATGCCTGCTGAGAGATGGGTGGGGATGAGGGGTGCTGGGGCACACTGCTTTACAGGTAGGGAGGCAGGCAAGCTTCTGAGCGCCTGAGTCATGACTTTAACCCACATCTCTAAGCCAAAGTCCCTGCAGACCAAGTTGGCACCTGACTTCCCCCTCTGAGCCTTAGTTTCCCCATATGCTCCCCTCCCCCGGAAAAGGGAAATGCAGGGTCTCAGGCCCAGCAGCAGCTCCTCACCCGGCCAGGGTCGAAGGAGCTGTTCTGGTCACCAGTGGCCCAGGAGCCTGGGCTGGGCCGGTCATCCAGACCTGCAGGACAGGAAGAGAGAGAGGGTCACCCTTATCCCTGCCCACCTAGCTCAGCTCCCCACCACCTCAGGGGGGAGCCCTTACTCGATTCCACATGCTTTCTGGACCTATACCTACTTAGACGCACCCACCTCCAGCTCTGCCCACACAGACAGCACTGTCAATGGCAAGTGCACCAGACACCCTGGCACTTATCATACTTCCAGGCCTGCAGCTCAGTAAAAAATTATACCAGCTATCACTGCTGGCAAACTCCTACCCATTCATCAAAACCTTATCCACCATGCCTACCCTGGGCAGACCCCACACTTATACTGAGCCTCCCTCCCCAAGCCCCAGGCCCCTCCCTCTGGCCCAGTCCTGACCACAAGGGCTGGGGCACCTGTATCAGGCTCAGTCTCTCTTTACCGTGCAAGAAAGGCTCACGAGGACATATGAATAGGTCATGAGTGATCAGCTTAGATCTTGGGAAATTGCAAATCTCCCCTTGCCCATCTCTGCCAGTTCAGGAGGTGGGCCATCCCTTTGTTTAAGTAATAGCGGCAGCTTCTACTGACTACCCACCAGGCACAGGCTGGCAGCCTCTCCTGGGTAGAACCAAATCCACATTAGGGATGAACCAAGGCTCCTGCCACTGGCCTGCCAGACTGGGATGCCAGAGGCCCAAGGTGTAACCTGGGTTAACCAGTGTGGGGAGAGGACCCTGGTCTCAAGGGGCAGGGCAGGGTGGGACCTTATCTCCCTGGACACTCTTCCAGGCACCCACCCAGAACTCGGAATCTTCCCCATGGGGCAGAAGCCCAGGCCTACATCCTTCCTGGGCCAGAGTTCCCACCCCATCCATCAGGGACCACAGAGCACAAGGCCTGGACGTGCAGAAGGGGAGCAGTCCCAGGCCCCTCCCTGTCTGTGCTTCAGTTTCCCTCCATAACCATCTGGGGTTATGAATAGGCCCACTTGGCATAACTGGGGAGGGGACCTGGGGCAGCAGGGGTGGGCACCTATACCAGCATAATCCCACTCCCACCGTACTGCTAACCCAACATGCTGGAGTTCCCATGTACCCCCATCCCAAATCCTATACTGCGTCTCCTGCCCTCCCCTGCTCACCTGTACCAAAATTTCCTTCAAATCGTATCCTTCTATTGCAGTGCCATTGTGTTAATGATTCTCCCCCAGAGAACTGATGTTTAATTGCTGTCTAATTTGCATGGTTATGTATATTAATCACCCATCCTGATGAATATTCATGATCTCAGTTAGATTTTTGTTTTCTAATAAAAAATTTCCAATGTGATTACAGTGGGGGACTTGGTGGGGGGTGGGGGTCTCCAGGAATCCATTCATTCTGTGGACTATCAGATTTGGGAGTATTTGTACCAAAAGGTCCTGAACCCCAAACTGGGGCTCTGGAAGAAGAGCTGCTAGGAAGGCAGGGGTGACCTTGGGTAACGTCTACCACCCCTGGAGCCTCAGTTTCCCTCTATGGGTACTTGCCTTTGTCCCCTCCCCTTCTCCAGCAGCCCTCATTCCCTAAGGCCTGGCAGCGGTGAAGGGCACTCCTGGGGCCCAGGGACTCCCACATCACATGGGCCCCGTGAGTGACTAGCAAAGAGCCTTTCTGGGAAAAGCCCTAACCCCAGCCCCCATATCCCTTTCTATAAATGACAAAAATAGGAACAGCCTCTCCCTCCCTTATTACTTCCACTAATGGTTAGTAACACCTCCACTGGTGAATGTATACATTTAAATAACTCATCCCTTCTTGTTCATATTCCAATTGAAACATACCAATAGAACAAGACATTGCTTTCAGAATGTAGTTTTTTTTCCCTATGATTTCTCTCTTTAAAAATAAAAACAAAACTGCTGGATATGACATGTCGGTGGGGCAGGCAAGGGGGTGGGGGTTGGTGCCTGGGAAAATCTGTGCACTCAGACCCAGCTCAGCTGCCTCGGGGAGAGGGAGATGGAGAGGGAGATGCTGAGGGAGCAGAGCACATGCAGAGCCCAAGGGTGCTGCCCATCCCCCGAGCTCCACTCCCAGTTTGAGTCTGCTGGGGGTGACAACACTGCCCACTAGCCAAGGTTGCTTTAGGATGAGAAAGAATTCTGTGGAGTGGGTGGCACAGTTGGCGTCTGGTGGAGAGGTGACTCCACCATGTGACTGAGGGCTGACCCTTGTCTGATGAACTGGGGGAGTGGCCTCTGAAAGATGCTCAGTGTGGCTGGGACCAAATGGCCCGTGTCCTGTGCAGGATTCCTCTGGGGCAGGATCAGCAAACTAGGGCCCTTAGACTAAGTCTGCCCCCCAACTGCTTTTATAAGTAAAGTCCTATTAGCACACAGACATGCTTTTAGCATACAGCAGCTTAGTTGCAATAGAGGCTGCCCAGCCTCCACACATGCACTGCCTGGCCCTTTGTGGCAATCCACTGGCCCTAGTGAGTGGAAAGATTTCAGGAGCTGGCTCCTTTGTATTAAGAAGCCTAACCATCAGGAATTCGGGACCAACAGAATTTGGTACCAGGAGTAAGCAGGGTTACCGTATGGGATGGGCAAAACCCAGATGGTCACGGTACCTTGCCCAAGGCTTGGGGTCCCTACCTCAAGCCCCTACAAGTACAACCATGTGGTTGTCAGCCTAGCCTGGGGGCTTCATTCTGCAGACCAGTTCCGCAAGCTCCCCCTTACCAGGGAGCTGGGTCCCCTCTCCTTTCCTCACTGCTGCCTCTGACCCTCTGGTTGGCAACAGCTGCACCCCTACAGCAGTGCCTTCCCAGGTTCCCTGACCACACTCCACCCCAGGCAGTCCCAACGGAGCTTTCAGAAGCCAAAACTTGGTCTCCTCTCTCCCTCTAATTCTTGTCAAGTCTACCCACTGCCCTCAGGGCAGAGACCAGGCTCCTCCCTGACCACCTCCAAGACCTCTGCCCCTGCCTAGCTCTGTCCTGGTGGTCTCCACACCTGTTGGTTCCTCATTCCCCTTCAGAGAAGCCACCCTTCAGGTCTTCCAGCCCAGGGCCCTCTATGCAACCTCAGCATCTCTATACAGGGCTGACCCCCTCAAACAGCCTCCATATTTGCTTTCCACGTCCTCAGTGTACCCACAAATAACCTAACCTGTCTCCAACAGGACCTTCTGCCACGATCACAATGCCTGTCCTGTTCAGTGGCCACACACAGCTGCTAAAGAACGTCTAACTCTGTGATTCTAAATAATACAAATTTAGATTGCCCTATGTGGCTAGTGGCTGCTGTATTGGACAATGTGGTCCCAAAAGATAAAGCCTAAAATAATAACAATAATAAAAATAATCACCATGGACCATAATCACATCTGAGAAAAATTAGTAACACCTTTAAGAGCAACTATTTAACCAGCACTCAAATAATTACTTTCTTTTTGGGTTTTATCAGGTGGCCAATACGATCCAAAGCCCATCTGCTCTTCCTCCAACTTTCCCCTAAAATTAAAATCCCCAAGAAACCAAATGGTGGCCATCTGACTGCCCTGCCTGGGTTTGGCCCTGCAGTGCCTGGGGTCTTCCAGGAGTGATGGGGAATAGGAGGAGGGTGGTGGTGAGAGCAACATGGATTTCAATTTGGGGGCAGCCCTTCCTTTTCAGTGGGGCTGTAGGCTCTTACCAATGGCAGGGGGTTGGGGTAGCGATAGCTTACAGAAAAGCTGCAGAGAGAATGCCAGGTTGTGCCCAAATCCAAATTCACTTGTTTATATTTCACCCCTTTTTATCTCCTGCCCTGTTTATAATGTTGTATGAGCCCATGCAATGGGGAGCAGGACACAGAAAGGCAGGGCCCCATGCTCCCCACCCAGACAAGCAGGTCTGAGGCTGGAGAGGTGAGTGGAGGCCACACGCCACCCTTTCTAAGAGAAGGGGACCCCCAACCCAACACTTCCTGAACTCCCAGGGTACCGACTCCCAACCCTGTAGCTTCCCTAGTGGGCGGAGCCAGCTCTCAGATGAAGGGTCCCAATAAAGGGAATAATTCAGAGCACTGGGGTCCCTTAGCTGCAGAAGTTAGCCTATCTGCTCCGTCCTGTGAATTTCAGATCCAAGACCATAATGATAACAGAAAGACCCCCTCCTGCTTCAGTCTCAAGTGGAACCTATGAGGAATGGGGGCAGGGGGGGGGAACGGGAGAATCTGCACCCTCCCACCCCCAAATATGAGCTCACAGGCCAACCTACAACCTCCCTGCAAGAAACAAACATGGAACACAAAACATGGACCAAACTCACAGGTTCAGAATTTATCCCAGGAAACAGAGATGCATCTTTAAGACAGCTACCTCCACACACCCACAAGAAAATTAGCACGTGGTTCTTTGGAAGAAAGATGAGATTTCAGAGAGAAAGAGAGGAAGTGAGAAAAACTAAGAAAAGGAGTTCATGCAACAAATTTACAGGTTTTAAAAACCAGCATCAAAGGAAGCGAAGGCAGAACAGATGAAGCAGAAAAAGTGATCAATGAAGAGGAGGACAAGTTCTGTAAATGCCCCTAAACACAGGGGAGAAGGAAGGAATTCTGAGACAATGGACGTGAAGATCTAAGTGAGACAACATGAGACTCGCGACACTGGAGAACTGGCATCCCTGGAGGGAACAGAAAAAGCCCCAAACTGGAGTGGAAAACATAGTCGACCAAGCATTTCTGAGACATAGACCTTAAGGGCTCATTGGCAACTTCCGAAAATAAATAAAAAAGCACGCAAGATTAAGATAAACATGCCCATTCACTGACTATCATGGGAAGACAATGGCATGCAACCTGCACTGCACAGGTGCAGGTGGGAAAGCTGGTGGTAGCCAAGGAATTCTACTCCCAACTGTCACATGCAAGGCAAACATCACCATGTTCCCTTGATAGAAATCATCCCTGAAGATAGACTCCAGACTGGGAGGGGTCAAACGTGGACATGCGAGTCAGGTGTATGTGATGGGTCCGGGGAGGGCGATCCCATCAGCCCCTGTACA